TTTCGAAAAGAATGATTCATGGGTAGAAATTGACGATGGCAATAAAAAAATGGTTGTTTCCTAGCCTCTATCAAGTAAAATGACTTGTTGTTCCCCATACATACATGATATGATGAAACACCATGTGTGCTCCATCCCGATAACATTCCATACGTTGGAAAGTCATTAATAGTTCACATAAGTGCAGCTCGCATTAGAAAATTTTGCTTCCTAAATGAATCATAGGTTTCTACTCCCACATTCTCACAATTCTTTCAACTCATCTATGAGAGGCTGCAAATATAGATCTATGTTCTTACCGGGACTTTTTGGCCCAAGGATAACGAGAGTCAAGAACATGTAAGGGGTTTTCATACACATTCCAGGTGGAAGGTTGTACGGAGTAATGATTACTGGCCAACAAGAATAAGGATGACTCTTTTGTCCATATGGACTAAATCCATCGGATGAAAGAGCTAATGGAACGTTGCGCGGCTCGGAATAAAATAAAGGATAAGATTCAACAAAGCTATTCCACGCCTCCCCATCACACGGATGCCTCTTCGTCTCACTTTGTTGACATATATAATCTCTGAAGCCGTGGTGTGAGAGGAAAGTGCCGCAAAATCTTATGAGGAAAGTGTCCATATCGGCGACAATATAATTGTAGCATTTGATATTTTTCGTGTCTTGACGTCGATTGAATCCACCTCTTCCACGACCTCTTGTTCGTCGATTCTCTTTCTTAATCTCGTTGTTGTTGTGAGAGACTTTTCCTGCATGACCTCTGCCACGACCATGAATGCGTTCACGACCACAACCTCTACCTCTCCCTCGAAATCAAACACTATCATATTTTTGTTTGTCGGCATGGTTAGTCATTGCTTGAAGGGCATGTTATCCTTGAAGCCCTTTCTTTTGACTTTTGATCTTCTCCTCACGGACTTGTAATTTGCCCAACATTTCTTTCACTTTAAGATTCTCAATGTCGTTAGACTCTTCAATTGCCACGAAGATATATTTGAATCTCGGATCAAGGGATCCAAGTATCTTTTCAACCACCCTTTTCTCTTCCATTTTTTCACAACTTTTCTCAAGTTGGTTAACGATCAAAACCACTCTGGAGAAGTAGCCATAAACTTCTTTGGATGCTTTCAGCTGAAAAGACTCAAACTCTCCACAAAGTGATTTGAGTCGTACCTTCTTCACCTTATCAGTGTCTTTGGAAGCATCGCTAAGAATATTTCACGCTTGCTTTGCCGTAGTAGCTTGAGGAATTTTTCCAAAGTTATTGTCGTCTACATCAAGTTAGATGATGGTTAGTGATCTTTTCTTTGATTGTCTTCTTTTGGGCTTGACTTAATAAAGCAAATTCTTCGATTTAATGTCTTCCCTCCTCCCTAACCCTATATCCCATGATCTCATTTTTTTTCTTCTCAATCTAAATTCTTCTCTACTATTTTTTATTCACTGCTGCCACCCATCTTTTTTTCAGTCGATGTCGCTCATTTCTCTTCTCTCTCCACCGTTCATGCCGCTCCTTTTCCCTTTCTCTCCATTCGTCAAAGCGCGGTCTCTGTGCGGTGGTAAAAAACCCGAAGTGGGGATTCAAGAATCCTTTATAAAAAACCCTTCTGCATTTTGTTGGGCCGCACATACCCACCTTATGTGTTTTTCACCGTTCGTTGTTAGTTCGTGATGGGGTCGGTTGGTAACGGCGCTGGTCATGAAGCATCGATTGGACGGCGCGGTTGCGACCGGTGGTGGTGCGAGGGGGTGCTGGTGGCGTGAGCAATGGACGGGTGCGAAGGGGTCTGTGATTGAAGACGCGGACAATAGAGTGATTTTACGTTCATTTGTAGTGCATTACGTTCATTTGTACCTTGTATTTTCATTTTAACAAGGTTAAAAGCTCTTCTTTTTTTTCTCTTGTCGTGTGGATAAAATAAGTCACATGAGTGGTATGTGTAAATTCCATCCAACTATACTAAAAACTAAACGATAGACCATATTTGTTAATATGACAACTATTGTAACTTGAAAATATTTAAAGACCATGTCGAAAAAGTGGTTAAAGTTTGAGGGCAATATTTTTTGTCCGACTATAACTTTGATGGTGCTACCAAATTTGTAATTGAGTTACTTTCACTTACCTCCCCTACACTAAATAGAAACATTCACTTACATCCCATCTCATATTAAAATCTTCAATTACCCTCCTAGATTACAAGTACCAATTATACCCCTTTCTTCTTGTTTTTTTATTTTTTTTGACAAGTCTCACCCCTTTCATTTTTTTACAAACTTGAATCTTTACAATTTTAGAATAAAAAAAATTCTAGTATTTATAATTTATACTCGTTTTACTTTTTTAGTATAAACTTGTATTGAGCTCTCTAATCATATATTTTATCTAACTAATATTCGAGAGAAAAATAAAATATAAAGTATCATAAGAATCAGAGTGAAAATACTATCTTACTCGATATTTTTTCTATTATTTATTCAAAAATCTTTACAGTGTTATTTACCATTTAAATTTTATTATACATCATAAATTTTTTTAGTGATATAAATTTATCATGGCATATTTTTTTGATTAAATAAATCTAATGATTATAACTAATAACGAAATATTTAATAAATTATATTATTAATGCCCACACTTGAAATTAATTAGATGAAAATTTAAAATTAATTTATATGTTCCGCCGGTTCCGATCCGAAAAGTTCCGATTTTGGAACAATTGTTTTTCATTTCGACTTTCAAAATTCCAATTTCTGAATTTTGCCGATTTTTTTGTATTGGAATTGGAATTATACATCATAAATTTGAAATTTCTAATTTCCGATCTGATTTAATTTCCGAAATTAATTCAGAAAAATTCCGATTCCTAAAAATACAGCTATAAATTAAATAATATATATTATATAATACTTATTTTAATTTTTTTTATTTATTTCCTGAAACACAGTAATTTGATTAAAGTTTTGTTGTAGGATTTTGACATATTGAATTGTTGTTAGAAGTTTTATTGGATATTATGATTATGATGTTTTTATTTTCTTTTAAATGAAATTTAGCAGTTATTACTCTTACTTTTATCGATGTGGATGTTCTTATTTTTGAAATTTTAAAGCTTATGTGATTTTCGATTTTTCCGAAATTCTGAAATTTCCGAGCCTTTTAGAATTGGAATGAATTTTTAGATTCTGAAAATTTTGAAATTGGAATTGATTTTCTACTTCTGAATTTTTTTGGAAAATTTCCAAAAAGGCTAATTCCGATCCGATCCGATCCGATCCATCCGACTTTCACTTAGTTACATCATATAATTCATGGTGGTAAGAAAAAGTTTTGATAGTACAAGAAAGAGGTAAATGAAATTAGCCTTTTGTAATTCCTAAATTAGAAAATGCCATTAAATTGTTTGGATTATTTTTCTTTATTTCCAAAATTGGAGAGTATACCTGGCATTGTAAAATTAAACCACAGAATTCAAATTTCAAACCAGGAAAGGTGGAAGTAGGAATTCATTATTCATAAGATATTATTGCAAATTTTATTATAATTAAATTACAGTATATAAAATAATATTTAAGGAATATTATTTCACTATCCATAATCTTATTTTCCATTTTATATATAATCAGCAAGAATTTCATGTAAAATCACCACCCTACTTCAAAATGAAAATGATCTCTCCTCTTATTTTTTGCCTTATGCTTCTCACTTTTACTATGCAGGGTAAGATTGAGATAATTTTTTTAGTCGAAATCGGAGTTATTTATATTTTTTCCAATTACATTGATGTCTATGTTATGTATGTTATACACACGATTCGGAATGCTATAAAGGTGGTCTATGAGATGCTACACATAGTAAAACGTATCAGACGGTTTTGCACCATAGATCTACACAAATAACCACACACTAAGCACACATACACATGGGTGTGTGTGTTATTATGTGCAGATGGGGTGATGCGTTTTACCGGGTGTTGTAGCATCTAAAAAACCTATAAAGGTTATATGATTTCCAACACTTTTGAAAGGTTCCGAAATCCGAATGAATTTTCTGATTCTGAAAATTAATTTCAGAGTCTAGAATAAAAGTTAAATTTTTTTTTTTCTGAAGAGTTTTTTTTTTCTCACAAAGACTAATTACGATTAGATCCGTACAATTTGCATCTATTGATTCCATATATTTTCAATACATGCAAATTGATTATATATATTTTTTTGTGTTATTTATTTAATTAATTAATTAAATTATTTATTTTGGTATAGGAAGAGTAGAGGCATGTACGAATATTCTTTGTGCAGTGGATATGGTGTTAGAAGAATGTACAGCTGGAAGGTGTTTGGTTTATTGTGCTTCAAAGTATAGAGGCGCAACTCGATATGGAGAGTGCTATTCTGCTAATACTTGCCATTGTGTTTTTGATTGTTGTATCTAATTATTTAACTAACTAATTAGTTAATTAATTAATAGATAATTGTATCCTTATTTCGACAATTATTCTTCTACTTTGGTTCAAATTTCAAGTGTTGTTTTATTACAGTGTCAGTCCTTATTATCCATGTGATGGGTTTTTTTTACCATTCGCCCTTATATATAAATAAGGAGAAAATGCACTTCACGTCTTGTAAATTTCACATTTTCACACTTTAACCTCTAAAAATTCAAAAAAGTGATAACACCCTTCGAAATATTTTTTTTGTTGCACTTTTGCCCCAATGGTCAATTTAAAAATAACATTTTAAAGCGGCAATATGCAGAAAAATAATACTTTTAAGGGGCAATGTGTAACAAAAATAACATTTAAGGAGGCAGCGTGCAACAAAAACACTCAATTCCGGTGAATAATCCGAATTTTGCTACCGGGGTAATGTGTCACAAGAATATTATTTGGAGGGGGCATTCACTTTTTTTAATTTGGAGGGGGTAAAGTGCAAAAATCAGAAATTTATAGGGGGTGATGTGCAATTTGCTCTATTAACAAAGACGAGAAAATTACTTAAAGAAGAGAAAATTACTTAAACAGAAGACGAAAATGACAATAAAAGCTTTTATTCGTATAGTTCTATAGTAAAAGGTAGGCCAAGTTCTAATACACGAACTAGTTATTACTTTTGCGAATGCTAAAAAAGGAAATAAAAACAAAACTTACAATTTAATTTCCATTTCGTGGACATCAAACGATTTGTTTCGAAGTAATGTAAGAAGAATGAGTGTCCACGATGAGTTTGATAAGCGGGTCTTCCACGTCAGCACCGGACTCAGTCTTGTCCCTTTGAACAATTACGTTTCCGCCTGTTGTGACGACAATAACTTCCTCTTTGCGTGTCAAAAGCTCGTTGGCTACAACCATATCCATATTGTATTTCTTAAGGGCCATATTGGCCTTGTCCACAAGAATCTTCATATCCGTCTCTAACTGTATCATGTTAAGCACATGTTCAAAATGATATCCGTTCTATTCACACACATACACACACACACACACACACACACACACACACACACATATATATATATATATATATATTGTTAGAATTTATTTCGTGCAGATATAAATTATTTGTGTCAGATTCAGTTTTTCATTACTGTTGCGTGAAGTGCTGCAACAGTTCGTGAAGCAGTTCGTAAAAACAGAAATAAACGAGACACAAATTTTAATGTGGTTCGGATACAATTGTACCCTACATCCACGGGGACCTGCAAATAAAATTTACTAATTTTTAGTTTTACGAATACAATAATAGGACTTAATCAAAATACAAAGACTCCCTCTTTGTTGACGCCGTTCTTGTATACTACGCTGAATTATAAATCTTCAATTTGCAGCACGTCCCTTGCTCCGCACGGTTGAACTCCCTTCAACGCTGAATCCCTCAGTCGGCGGATCGATCTCCTCCCGAGATCTGTTTAAGCCCCTCTCCCGAAGAACCGATCTTCTTTTTATATAGAAGAAGCAAACTTGTGATACTCCTTGAATCTTGGTGTCTTCACCACAAAGCCTTGAAGCCGGTATATTTTCTATGAAAATCACGTATCACGATGGAGCAATAAAAACGAGAGGAAAAAAATATTTCTCTGAAATCTTCTCTCGATAGAAAAACTCCGAAAGAGCAACAAAGAAAAGAGAATTATTTTTCTCTCCAAAAAGCCGCACAGCACTAACGTGTATTTGCTCCACTTTTATAAGCCTGATAAAGAATCCTACAAGAGTCCAATTCAAAATACGTATCAGGCATATTAGGATATAAATCTTATCAAAAGATATTAACTCCTATTCAAACACTAATTCCCAAATAAAATAATATCACAATTAATGACAACATATAAACCAATGGAAACCACTTCTTCCTTTTTCAATAAAAAAAAACACACGGCAGTTTATATGGCAACATGAAGACTTGTTGCCCAAGACTTTGAGAATAATTAGACTCCAATTTTGATTCTAACAATAGGAGACCTGCACACAAGAAAGTCTTGGGTTAAAATAAGAATAACTCTTTAGAAGAATAATTCCTATTATAAATCAATTAATGACAAATTAAAAGAATTAAAAGCTACAAGGACTCTTCCCTTCTTTAGCTCACGGTATATGAAAACTTGTGGCACAAGTTTTATTAATTCTCGTACAATTAGAATCCATAGGATTCTAACAATCTCCCCCTTTGTCGTTTATTGATTATAATTATTTTCTCCCGCTGAGTAAAAAACCTGAAAATAAAACAATCAGATGATTAGACCGAAGCAAATAAAACAAAAGATCATCATCAACTCTTTTCAACAACAAGAGTGGCATCAACTGCTGCAACAGTAAGTGCCACAGTTTCAGCAACTGTTCCCACAGTAGTGGCTTCGGCAGGTGGTTCACAACGGAGTCAGCTCCCCCTGCATGTGTATCTCCCTCTGTGAATGATCCTTAGGCAGCTCCTCTTGTAAATGCATTCATTCTTCCCCTTTGGTTACTCGGCTTGATAGACTTGGAAGGCGGTGGATGACAACGTGGTAAATTATCCACGTGATAAGAGACTCAGCAAATAACATCGGCATTATAGCTCCTCCTTTTATATTCTTGTGAAGACCTAAACCAATTAATGACAATAAACATCTCCATAGAATTTCACTTGGTGTTGTGGACTTGAATCCCACGAGATTCTAACACTCTCCCCCTTTGGCATTGATTGGTCAGAATATTTACTCCCCCTAACTATATGATACATGCATGAACAAGGGTTAGCAAATTCAGAATAACATCTGCACATATAAACTGTTGCAACAGTTTATCAAACAGTTCACCAGATAATGTAAACTGTAAATAAACCATAGTTCCAAAATAAAAGCAGATAATTCGTTCAGATAAGCACGAGATAAAAAGGATATGCAGTAGCAGAAACAACTTCTCTTCACAATGCTTATTATTTGTCCTATATTTCTGCCCAGCAACTGTCTCATGCACTGTTTCAACAGTTGTTTGAACCCCCCTGCATTCCTGCACTGTTCCAGTAACTGTCGCAACAGTTGTCGGAACTCCCCCTGTGTTCATGCCATCGTTACTGTTCTTTTCTCCTGTTCTTTTCTCCCCCTTTCTGGGCAATCACCATGCAGAGATAACTCAACATGGACTAATGATCTTGATGATTCAAGCAAGCTGTTCAAACACTTAACAAAAAGATCAAAACGAAGAGAGAATCTTGGAAGTAAGTGAGAAGAATCACTATACATAACGTGCACATAAAATCACAAACTCACAAACTCAATACCACACGATAATTGCAATGCGAAAATCAAAGGATAGTGATATCAAATCCAACATTAAATAGCAAAGACTACAGACTTTGCCAAACTTCATAAGAAACGTGGAAATGTAAGGAGTAAGCCCAATCGATCCGGTTGCAACAAAAAAAAATCAAATTTAACCGGCACATAAACAAAAATCCCGTCTCTCTCTCTCTCCTTTTTTTTTTTTTTTTTTTTTTTTTTTTTAAATAATGCCTAATGCAGTACAAAAAGTAAACATGAGAAATAGACATGAGTGAAGAGACATATGTGAATAGGATACTGCATGGACAAACAAAACATATGGGATTTATCTTCACATTCACGATAAGCGCAATCCCCAAAAATCCGACTGCCAATGCAACCAATAAACTTAATAATCCCAAGTCAAACACAAAGATGCTCTTATTAGGTAGCGTACACACACGTCTAATGGTAGCTTTTTCCCATGAAAAACAGAGCAATTAAAAGGAACGAGATTATGTTGGTCGTGCAATGTGTAGTCCCCTGGGCTTTCTAATTGAGCTTTGTAGTAAGTGTTCGGTCAAGTGGTTTACTGGCTCGACTCAACTAGGCTTCGAACTATTCACTGACCATATATATAATTTATATTGGCCGTGCAATGTGTAGTTCCCTGAGCTTTCTAATTGAGCCTTGTAGCGAGCTTTCGGCCACGTGATTTACTGGCTCGACTCAAAAAGGCTTCGAACTATTCACTGACCAAATGGTTGTAGATATATATATATTAATAACAGTAGTTCAAGAGTAGCTTTCACTCATTAAAAGAGGCAGCTTTTCCCTATAAAAACATCCAACCATGACAAGACTATTCAGAGAAATAAATAAGTTGGAGCCTTTTAAGTAATCATTTTGGGAATTGGTGAAGTTCTACCCCACAAAATTTAGAAATACACGAAGTATCAAATTCACATTTGTCTCAATCATATGCAGTATGCTTAATGCAGGTCCTATATGAGATGCAAAAACATATGAAGTGTCCTACCTCTAAAAGTTGCAAGTCTGGACACACAGACTGTTGCAACAGTTCATGCAACTGCATCAGATTAAACAACATAAATTCCCAGCGATTTTCGCAAGGAATCAAATTTCTGTGCATCAATGGTTTTTGCAAAAGCATCAGTTAATTCATTCTCTGTTGCACCATAATCAATTGAGACAACCCCCTTTTCGACCAAGCCCCTTATGAAACAATGACAGATATCAGTAAGCTTAGTTCTCGAATGCTGAATTGGATTCATAAACTTATTTTTCGCATTCAAATTATCACAATTCAGATTACCAAGTTTTTTATTCCCAAAACTAGCTTTGTCACCAGAACTGTTGGAACAGTTAGTACTATCATCACATGAGTTTAAAGAAGTAATGGCAGATAAACAATTAAGATCAGACTTCTTTACCCAGATTTTTTGTTGAGTTTTATTCACTAAATCAACCTTTATCTTGGGTTTTTGAGACGACACAAAAGTGTGATCAATTTTGGCGGAAAGTGGTGAGCGGGCCATTATTCTTTTAACCATTTTCAAGTACTTAAAACACCTGGGTCGTATATGACCAGCAACATGACAAAAATGACAAATAGGCACAAAACGTTTTCTTTGAAATGACTGTTTTGGCGCAACTGTCGCAACAGTCTGTGAAACAGTGCATTGTTTAACAAAATTGATTTTTCCTATAGGATCTTCTTTCTGTTTCAAAGCATCATCAGATAGTTTATTACCCCTTACACCTAGATGACCATAGTTCGGCTGATTTGTTCTCAAAATTTCATTCAAATTTACCCTACATGTATTTAATTTTGAAATAGAATCTTGGGTTTTAGCAAATTTGGCCTTCAAACTATCTGTTTCTCTACTAGCAGAAATAACATTTTGTTCAAGAGTAGAAATTCTTACCTTCAATACTTTGTTTTCCTCAATTAGGACAAGCTTCTCTTTTTCTAAGAATTTATTCGACTCGCATACCTGAAGAAATTTTTCGTACATCCTTTCATAGCACTCCTTTAATTCTTCCAAGGATGACACGTCATCATCGCTGTTGTTTTCTGAATCCCAATCATCACCTGCAAGATTTAACGGAGTTAATATTTTATCAGATATTGAATGTAACTTATCATACCTAAGTTCTGTCTTAACAGTCTGTTCAACTGTTGCAACAGTTTCAGCGACAGTCTGTTTGCACTCGTTTATCTGAGTAGTTCCTTCGTAGGCCTCTTGTAGAACATCCCATGCCTCCTTTGCTGATTTGCACATTGATATCAATTTGAATTGGTCTTCATCGATACAACTCAAGATAGCATTGGTTGCCTTGGAATTATAATCTGCGATTCGTACTTCTTCATCACTCCACTTCTCTTTTGGGGTTTGAATGATCTCGTGTGACTCATTCATTGAGGTAGGAGGTGTCCAACCAATTAGAATCGCGCGCCAGGCCCATTCATCGATAGATTTGATGAACATCTTCATCCTTATTTTCCAATCAGAGTAGTTCAATTCACCCAAGAGAGGTGGTAGGAATGCGCCTTCACGATGATTATTCATGTCTGCACAAAAAAATAAAAAAATAATTAAATCCCAAAATCTCACTAAGTGTATCTAGTGACAGGCTCTTGATGCCAATTGTTAGAATTTATTTCGTGCAGATATAAATTATTTGTGTCAGATTCAGTTTTTCATTACTGTTGCGTGAAGTGCTGCAACAGTTCGTGAAGCAGTTCGTAAAAACAGAAATAAACGAGACACAAATTTTAATGTGGTTCGGATACAATTGTACCCTACATCCACGGGGACCTGCAAATAAAATTTACTAATTTTTAGTTTTACGAATACAATAATAGGACTTAATCAAAATACAAAGACTCCCTCTTTGTTGACGCCGTTCTTGTATACTACGCTGAATTATAAATCTTCAATTTGCAGCACGTCCCTTGCTCCGCACGGTTGAACTCCCTTCAACGCTGAATCCCTCAGTCGGCGGATCGATCTCCTCCCGAGATCTGTTTAAGCCCCTCTCCCGAAGAACCGATCTTCTTTTTATATAGAAGAAGCAAACTTGTGATACTCCTTGAATCTTGGTGTCTTCACCACAAAGCCTTGAAGCCGGTATATTTTCTATGAAAATCACGTATCACGATGGAGCAATAAAAACGAGAGGAAAAAAATATTTCTCTGAAATCTTCTCTCGATAGAAAAACTCCGAAAGAGCAACAAAGAAAAGAGAATTATTTTTCTCTCCAAAAAGCCGCACAGCACTAACGTGTATTTGCTCCACTTTTATAAGCCTGATAAAGAATCCTACAAGAGTCCAATTCAAAATACGTATCAGGCATATTAGGATATAAATCTTATCAAAAGATATTAACTCCTATTCAAACACTAATTCCCAAATAAAATAATATCACAATTAATGACAACATATAAACCAATGGAAACCACTTCTTCCTTTTTCAATAAAAAAAAACACACGGCAGTTTATATGGCAACATGAAGACTTGTTGCCCAAGACTTTGAGAATAATTAGACTCCAATTTTGATTCTAACAATAGGAGACCTGCACACAAGAAAGTCTTGGGTTAAAATAAGAATAACTCTTTAGAAGAATAATTCCTATTATAAATCAATTAATGACAAATTAAAAGAATTAAAAGCTACAAGGACTCTTCCCTTCTTTAGCTCACGGTATATGAAAACTTGTGGCACAAGTTTTATTAATTCTCGTACAATTAGAATCCATAGGATTCTAACATATATGTTACCTTAAAGGAAATGCAAAAGGCGAGAGGAGCCCAATCTTTCCGGAGTACTGAAAGCATCTTCGGGACCTGAGCAAGTCGCATGTCCAAAGGTCCAGAGCTCGATTGTATTTTATGCACCGTCTGCATCAACTCAATACCATTTCTAAATAAATATGAATGAATGAAATCGCCCCATTTTTGTAGATATTCTATGATTTAATCCCGAAAAATATTGTTTTATAATTTAGTAATAATAAAGAGAGATCTAGAATTTCTTCAACGGAGATTTTGCGAAAGAATCCCTGTTGTTGCGGGTGCATATAAAAAAATACTAAAAAAATCAACTTGTTTTCGACATTAAATTATGAAAAAAACTGTCTTTTTTTTCTTTTGTTGATTGGTTCATTGCTTACCATACTCTCCCAAGGAACATAAAAATCAGAAACGGCAGCAGCAAGATAGAATAAAGCACTTGGTCCGAGGCTCCTCATTGACAGCGCAATCAACTGCAAAATCTGCAAAGAAAACGAGACAGTAATCGTAAGTTAATAAAGGAAAAATAACCAAATAGTACCCGTAACTTGCCAAGCAATATAAGTCTTGACAATATATTAAAAGAAAATAAAAAAATTACGTCATGAAAAAGACCACCACGACAATTTGTTGTTTAGCTAAGAAACTGTAGCTCACAAGAAGACCTGCATGCTTCTTGTGACGTATTCTTTTTGTTATGATTTTATGAAGCTTTGATTCAGTTGTTTAGAATTAAACACACACACACATCAAACACACACTCATGCAGCTTTCAAAACAGTAAAGAAGAACAAGAGAATTTACGAGGTTCAATCTCAGTGTGAGATCTACATCCCCGGGAGCAATACAAGCTCCAATTCACTATATAACACGATCAATACAGATACAAAACCAAGAGATGATAATCTCAGCTATGAACAAGCATGAGATCTGCCAGAAACCCTAAAACCTCTCTCACAAGTGTTTCTCTCTCTCTCACAATGTGTATCCCCTGTATTGCCTCTCCACTTTCTTCTGCTGCCTCTGTTCTATATATATATATAGAACTTACTCTCCAAGTAACTCACCAGAGCCGTCCATTTCATCCACCAATCAAATCAGCTCAAGTGTAAAGAACTACACTGCTGACTAGGATAGATGACTAAGCAAAAGCAACTTAAACTCACGTGCTTCTCACGTGACATAACATAGTGAATATCAGGTGTGTATAAAACCAGATGTATTAACCATTCATTAACAAATCTCCACCTTGGTTAAAACATCATCACACCACTAGTACTGCTCCTCCATGTTCCCCCACAGAACATGCAGCCAGAAGATCACTTCTGTAATTCCTTAATTCTGCCAAGTCTGAACTTGTACCAGTTCCAAGCAATGTTGGAACTTATTGAATGGTAGAGGTTTAGTTAATGAATCAGCTGGATTTTCTTCAGAAGCTACTTTCACAGCTTTAACCTTCCCAGCCTCTATCACCTGTCTGATGAAGTGCAGCTTGATCTCTATATGCTTAGTTCTCTCATGAAACATGGGATTTCTCATGAGGAACAAGGCACTCTGACTATCACAATGCAATGTGATTTCTTTCACCTTTCCAGACAATTCTTCAAAAAAACCTCTCAACCATAATCCTTCTTTTACTGCCTCAGTTGCAGCAATATATTCTGCTTCTGTAGTAGAAAGAGCAACTACTTTCTGAAGTGATGACTTCCAACTTATAGCTCCTCCATAAGAAGTATATATGTAACCTGACAAAGACTTCCTAGTGTCTAAACACCCTGCATAATCAGAGTCAACATATCCATTCACCACATGAGTAGCATCTACTCTCTTCTGATACAGAAGACCAACTCCTTTAGATCCTTTTAGGTACTTCAGTAGACTTTTCAAGGCAAACCAATGTTCTTTCCCTGGTTCAGCCATAAATCTGCTTAAGATGCTTAGAGCATAAGCCAAATCAGGCCTAGTAGATACCATACAGTACATGATACTGCCAACAATATTAGCATATGGAATCTCCTTCATGTATTCCTTTTCTTCAGTAGTGTTTGGCCTTTGATTCATGCTCAGCTTGTAATGGGGAGCTAAAGGTGTTAATACAGGTTTTGCTTCAGCCATTCCATACTTGGTCAAAACCTTCTCCAAGTAATCTTTCTGAGATAAAAATATCTGATTCAACTTTCTATTCCTCAGAATATCAATGCCAAGAATTCTACTAGCCTTTCCCATATCCTTCATTTCAAATTCTCCCTTCAGCTTGGCTTTTAGACTGGTAATTTCACTGTGCTTCTTACCTATGATCAGCATATCATCTACATAAAGAAGCAACAGGATCTGATCTTCACCCCTCTTCCCATTTTGATACACACAGTAATCATTACTGCTTTTCTCAAACTGAATGGAGTGCATAAACATATCAAACCTCTTATACCATTGTCTTGGTGACTGTTTCAGACCATATAGTGACTTGTTTAATAAGCACACCATGTCTTCACCTCCAATGTGAAAACCTTCTGGCTGCCTCATATATATAGTCTCTTCCAATTCTCCATGCAGAAAAGCTGTGGTCACATCCATTTGCTCAAGCTCAAGATCAAATTGAGCAACTAGTGAGAATGCAATCCTTATAGAAGTCTGTTTGACAACAGGTGAAAAAATTTCATTAAAATCTATCCCCTCTCTCTGAGTAAAGCCTTTTGCAACAAGTCTTGCTTTAAATCTTGGTTTTTCAACTCCTGGTATACCAGTCTTTAACTTGTAAATCCATTTGCAACCAACTAGTTTTTGATCTTTTGGTTTACAAACAATACTCCAGGTAGAGTTCTTCTTTAAAGATTGCATCTCATCTTCCATAGCTGTAATCCACATGTCCCTTTGTTCACATGCAATAGCTTCCTTGAAAGATGCTGGTTCTCTTCCACAATTTTCATTTACAACAGTCAGAGCATAGGCAATAATATCAGCATATCCAAGTCTATTTGGAGCTCTCATTTCTCTTCTGGTTCTATCTCTGGCTAGTTGATAATCTTGCAGATTTGAGGATTCATCTGTTTGTCTCTCCTCAGAAATCTCTCCAGAAGCTTCTTCTGTTTTTGTAGTATTTACAAAATCATCTTCAACAGAGTCTATCACATCATCTTGAAGCTCCACCTCAAACTGTGTCTTATTCTGACTGGTTTCACCAGAAGACAACTCCATAGTTTTTAGTGGCATCATTTCTTCATTGAATGTGACATCCCTGCTCACAATGCACTTTTGTTTACCAGCTTCAATACACCACAGTTTGTAGCCTTTTACTCCTTCAGGATATCCCAAGAAAATGCACTTCAGTGCTCTAGCTTCAAGTTTGTCTTGTCTCAAGTGTGCATATGCAGCACAACCAAACACCTTTAAATGATCATATGAAGGTGGTTTTCCAGTCCATATTTCTTGAGGTGTCTTGAAGTTCAGAGCTGATGATGGACTTCTGTTAATGATGTGACATGCAGTTTTGACAGCCTCTCCCCAGAACTTCTTAGAGCAACCAGAACTAAGAAGCATACACCTCACCTTCTCAAGAATGGTCCTATTCATTCTCTCAGCTAAACCATTCTGTTGAGGAGTTCCTCTAACAGTTCTGTGCCTTGTGATTCCATTATCATCACAGAATCTGTTAAATACTGATGACACAAACTCAAGTCCATTATCAGTCCTTAAGTGTTTTATCTTCATCCCTGACTGAGTCTCCACCTTTTGTTTCCAAGTCTTAAACACTGGAAATGCTTCATCCTTTGTCTTTAAGATGTGAACCCACAGCTTCCTTGACCTATCATCAATTAAAGTCAAGAAGTATCTGCAACCTCCCATGGTCTCAGTTCTTGCAGGACCCCACATATCTGAGTGTATATAGCTCAGATTGTCATGAGTTGAGTGTTGAGATTTCCCAAATTTTACTCTCTTGGCTTTTCCAAGAACACAGTTCTCACAGAACTTTAGTTCTTCAATGTCATTTGCTTCAAGAAGTTTCTGTTTCACCAGTTCTTGGAGTCCTCTTTCACTCATGTGTGCCAGCCTTCTGTGCCATAGTGAGGTTTTGTCTTGTACTACTACATTTGCTGTTTCAACAGCTGTGGTTCCATCTAATATGTAAATGCCATTTCTCAGCAAGCCCTTCATGACCACTAGAGCACCCTTCAATATCCTCATGATTCCATTTTTTGCTCTCATCTCATATCCTGCTTGATCAAGCATACCAATTGAGATGAGATTCCTCTTAAGAGCAGGAACATATCTCATTCCATTTACTTGTTTCTCCTGTCCAGAGGCTAGTTTCAGATTAACAGCCCCAATCCCAAGAATTTTGCATGCTTTATCATCTCCCAAAAGCACCATACCTTTTTCAGATTCCTTGAGCTCTTGAAACCACTCCCTGTTAGGGGTCATATGGAATGAACATCCAGAGTCCAACACCCACTCTCCAGCAGAATTGAGGTGTGATGCTACCAGTGCCTCAGGTGAATCAGAGTATGATGCAAACAACACCTCAGCAGAGTCATATCCATCTGATACAATGGATGCATCTCCTTTATCACCTTGGTTTGAGTCACTCTTATACTTCTGAGTTCTCTCAGGGCAGAATCTTCTAATATGCCCTTCCTTCTTGCACTTATGACATCTTCTGGTGTCCTTTCCATGTGGTCTTGACTTAGATCTGGACTTTCCTCTATTCTTCTTAAACTCCTTCTTGTCAGGCCTTCCTCTTACATTAAGTCCTTCACCACTTCCATTAGAGCTTGATTCATTTTTCTTCTGAAGCTCTTTTGAATTTAGCACAGATTTTACCTCTGTCATTGTAAGGGTATCTTTTCCATAAAGCATAGTATCTACAATGTGCTCATAATCCTTTGGAAGTGAGCTTAATAGGATAATAGCCTGATCCTCCTCTTCAATTTTGACTCCAACAGCATGCAGGTTTAGGATAATCCTATTATACTCATCTAGGTGTTTTCTGACTTCCTGCCCTGACTCCATTTGAAGAGTATAGAGTTTCTTCTTCAGATACAACCTGTTAGCTAGTGATTTCTTCATGTATATAGACTCAAGTTTTTCCCATATAGCTAGAGCAGTTGTTTCTTCAGAGACTTCACGAAGAACTTCATCACCTAGACTTAAAATCAGTGCACTATGTGCTTTAGACTGTATCTCTGGCACTGTCTTCTTATCATCTAAATCAGATAATAATTTTGCATCTAGGGCAGCAGAAAGTCCTTGATGAACCAATAATGCTTTCATCTTAATTCTCCAGAGAGTAAAATCATTATCACCATTGAATTTTTCAAATTCAAACTTAGAATTACTCATCTCCAGTAGATCTAAGTCAGGAGTGTACCTCTTCCAATTTTCAGCTGCTGATCTGGTTTTGTGTTGATTAGATTTAACCAGCTTCACTTAGATCCACGCTCACCGCACCACTTGTTATGATTTTATGAAGCTTTGATTCAGTTGTTTAGAATTAAACACACACACACATCAAACACACACTCATGCAGCTTTCAAAACAGTAAAGAAGAACAAGAGAATTTACGAGGTTCAATCTCAGTGTGAGATCTACATCCCCGGGAGCAATACAAGCTCCAATTCACTATATAACACGATCAATACAGATACAAAACCAAGAGATGATAATCTCAGCTATGAACAAGCATGAGATCTGCCAGAAACCCTAAAACCTCTCTCACAAGTGTTTCTCTCTCTCTCACAATGTGTATCCCCTGTATTGCCTCTCCACTTTCTTCTGCTGCCTCTGTTCTATATATATATATAGAACTTACTCTCCAAGTAACTCACCAGAGCCGTCCATTTCATCCACCAATCAAATCAGCTCAAGTGTAAAGAACTACACTGCTGACTAGGATAGATGACTAAGCAAAAGCAACTTAAACTCACGTGCTTCTCACGTGACATAACATAGTGAATATCAGGTGTGTATAAAACCAGATGTATTAACCATTCATTAACACTTTTATTAAAGCACTTGTGATGTATGTTTCTCATCGACAAGAGAAACGTGGAAAATAAATTTAAAAAACCAATTTTGGGCTCCATTATTACAGAATATTATTCAGATCCATACGCTTCAAACGATTACTCTGGTCCTCAAGACGTATTCTTTTTCATAAAACCATATCCTTGATTAAGCAAATTAACATCAGAAAGACGAACACACCCTCAATAAAACTCGAGAAATTAAAGAATTAGCAGGCACACCTTTGCAAAAGCATGGATATAATGTCGAAGACATGATAAATGATAAAAATCGAAAGATATCCCACATGAATGCTTATAGAATTTCATGAATCAGCCTTTTATGAAGTCGGAAAAAGATTCCACCGACGATCCTGATTGAAAATTCGCATTTACAGGATCTTAATTGCCAACAAAGTGAATTCAATAGATATAAGAAGACCAATAATTCAAGATATCCAACATTCGTGTGCTACAAAATTCTGTTGAGGAATTTCTATATCTCCTATTTATTTCCGGTTTGTATGACTTCTGTACGGCTAATACTTGATCAAACCATCGTTACTTTTCAGTTACGGGTTTTCCACATAATTCTTGCATTGAAACCTTTTTTTCTTGCATTTAAACCCTTTGTATCATCCAGTAGTAGGAAAAAGAATATATACGTTCTCGTTTAATTTATCAACACCTGAGCCCCAATTATAGAACTTGTCTAAATTTGCACCGAATTCTTTCCAGTTAAATAAATTCCTAACTAAAAAAACATGAGACCATTTTTTTTTTTAAATTTATGGAAAACATAACAGTAAGACTACCTGAAGATACTCAAAAATTGTTGTAAAGGGAAGTTTCAGCAAAGTGCCTCTCGTAACTGCCTGCAAACAAGATTGAATAGTCCCGGTTCAATCATACAAGTCATAAGTAGAGTAAAATATCATGAGAACAGAGGAAATACTTACCAAATGATTGTCAATGATGGCTCCCTCGACTGTTTTCGCATGTATCGGGTGCACTGAGATGTAAATGTGATGATGCTAATTACTAGCTCACCTAGGGTGGTGTAGAAAACGAACTGGGAGAGCAAAGCAGATCAGTAGCTTGACAACTTGATGATCCTGAGGTACCTGCGATCATAGAACACATAAGCTAAGCCGGGGGTTGATCCGGCGAAAACCCCTCCGACGCTCAAGTCAGACGTGCTGATCATAGAAATAGTCCAGAGAATACCATTAGTAGTATTATATTGCTCAGATAATAGGACGTACCTTAATAAAATGAGTAAAACCTCTATTTATATGTCGTTTATTGGGTTGGGTTTGCTTTGTTGGGCCCAAACCTTACTTGAAGGTGTTTGGGCCTCGGTGATATTAGTCTTCGATATTGGGCTCCTAGCCCAGTAGGTAAAGAAATTGTAGGCCCATTGGGTTGGCCCAATTAGGCATATCATTAAGCCCCCCACTCTCGAGTCGATGTGGGGGCCATGTTGTGATGGGTCTCAAATCGTGTCGAGAGTAAAAATTGTAGAAGTCGATCGTTGGCGTATGGCCTAATGGTATGCGAAAATGCGTTGGAGCGTGTGTCGGAGGGGCGTGAATGCGCGTTGGCGCATAGCGCGACAAGGTCGTCGCGATGTAAGTTAATTGAGTCGTCGGTTTTGTCCCGCGACGATGTAGTAGCGAATTATCTCCTCGTGGGAGTTGTCTTGTCGCGGGGTAATAGTGCTGATCGAGTTATCTCCTCGTGGGAGTTGTCTCGCGATAATGTAGTAGCACGGATCAAGTAATCTCCTCGTGGGAGTTGTCTATGGGGTAATCGAGTTGATCGAGTTACGTCCTCGTGGAAGTTGTCTCTAGGGTAATCGAGTTGATCGAGTTACGTCCTCGTGGATGTTGTCTCACGATAATGTAGTAGCACGGAGCTAGTATTCTCCTCGTGGGAGTTGTTATTTTTCGACATTGTCAATGTTTTGACGCGTTGCTTATATGTGTTTACATATAGCCTTGTGCGTGATGTACTTGAGGAGGGGATCAGACTCTCAAGATTTTTTTTATGGGGGTCGTGCCCCTTGTTAGACCTCGTGGGTCTTAAGTATGTTTGGACCGTGGCCACGTTTTAATGAATGACCCATCGAAAACAAGTAGATAAATTTGAGTAATCAAGCTGGCCAGGCTATATAGATTCTCATAATGTCTCTAAGTGCTTCTAGGGTTGTAATCGTGATAACTTGAGCTTGTGATTATATAGTGAATTTCGGGCGAGTTGTCTCCTCATGGGAGTTGTCTCGCGGTGAGTAATATTTATCGAGTGAGGTGGTTGCACGTGGGAGTTGCCTTGCAACGGATTTGTAGTATCGAGCGAGTTGGCTCCTCGTGGGAGTTGTCTCGTTGCGGGTTGTGGTACCGACCGAGTTGGCTCCTCGTGGGAGTTGTCTCGCTGCGGGTTCGTAGTACCGAGCGAGTTGGCTCCTCGTGGGAGTTGCCTCGCTGCGGGTCGTAGGATGGAGCGAGTGGTCTCCTCGTAGGAGTTATCTCGTTGTGGGTTCGTAGACCCGAGGGAGTTGACTCATCGTGGGAGTTGACTCCACGTGGGAGTTGTCTCGCAACGGGTTATATGACTGAGCGAGTTATCTCCTCGTGGGAGTTTCCTTGTAAGGGGTTGTAGGACCGAGCGAGTTGTCTTCTCGTGGGAGTTGCCTCGCTGCGGGTTGTATAACTGCGCGAGTTGGCTCCTCGTGGGAGTTGTCTCGCAAGGGAGTTGTAGGAGCATCGGATGGCGCGCGACTGAGGAGCGAGCGGACTGAGGTCGCTCTGAGCGAATTGTCTCCCCGTGGGAGTTATCTCGAAACGGGTTGTATGGCCGAGCGAGTTGTCTCCTCGTGGGAGTTGTCTCGCTGCGGGTTGCAGTACCGAGCGAGTTGGCTCCTCGTGGGAGTTGTCTCGCTGCGAATTGTGGGACGGGCGAGTGGTCTCCTCGTGGGAGCTATCTCGCTATGGTTATGAGACCCGAGGGAGTTGGCTCCTCGTGGGAGTTACCTCGCAACGGGTTATAGGACGGAGCGAGTGGTCTCCTCGTGGGAGTTATCTCGCTATGGTTTCGTAGACCCGAGGGAATTGGCTCATCGTGGGAGTTATCTCGCTGCGGGTGGTAGTACTGAGCGAGTTGGCTCCTCGTGGGAGTTGTCTCGCAAGCCCCCCACTCTCGAGACGATGTGGGAGCCACGTCGAAAAGGGTACCGGATCGTGTGGAGAGTAGATCGGTGTTGTAGTGTTTCTTTATTCGTTGGCATGGCGTGGAGAAATAAATTTTTTATTTATTTTCCATTTGATAGCGAACGCAATTTGGTAGGTGCGTTAAAGAACTCGCGCAATTTGGTGGAGCGCGTTGAAACTCTCTCGCGATTTGGTGAAGCGAGGTGAAATCTACGCGCAATTTGGTGGAGAGTAGCAAAAGTTGTGCCCAATTAGGTGAGAGCGCGCGCTCCAAAGTGGCCTTGGGAGGCGTGCGCGCGTGCATGGGAAGGCGCGCGCGTCTGGCGCGTGTACGCCACGCGCGCGTGCTGTGCACGCGCGCCTCCTTTCCTCTTTTTTTTTTTTTTTTTGTCTTCTTATTTTTTCTTCTATCTTTTTTCTTCTTCTTTTTTCTTCTTCTCTTTTTTCATTTTCTTCTTTTTTCTTCTATTTCTTCATCTTCTTCTTTTTTTTTTCTTTTTTTTTTTTTGGTGGTTGATATTCACCCCCTTGGGGATGTTCTATTTTTTGAGTAGGAAGATTATCCTCGTCTCTTGCGATGTGATGTGAACCCCCTTGAGGATGTTCTATTTTTTTTAGTAGGGAGATTATCCTTGTTCCTTGAGATGGGATGGGCACCCCCTTGGGGATGTTCTATTTTTTGAGTAAGGAGATTATCCTCGTTCCTTGAGATGAGATGTGCGCCCCCTTGGGGGTGTTCTATTTTTTGAGTAGGGAGATTATCCTCGTTCCTTGAGATGGGATGTGCACCCCCTTGGGGATGTTCTACTTTTTGAGTAGGGAGATTGTACTCGTCTCTTGAGATGTGATGTGAACCCACTTGGGGTTGAAAAGTAAGGGTGATGCCTAACCTTAGGATGGGGATAACTGCCCACTGTAGGATGAGGCGCTCGAGACCTATTGTCTAAGGTGGATGTGCACGGTTGTGCCATTGGTTCGCGCGTGCGCGTCAGACCATTTTTTCTGTTTTTTGAAGTAGGGACGTGAAACAGTTGATGGGATGTGAAACCCCTTGGGGTTGAAAGGTAAGTGGATGTACCACCCTTGAGATGAGATACCCAACTTTAGGATGGGATAGCCCCCCATTTAGGATGAAGGGATCACGAACCACTGGGGTGAGATGCCCAACCTTGGCGATATATGGTGCCACCGATTCAGTGCCAGCACGAGTTGAATCTTCCGTGATCATACGTTGAAGGTCTTCTTCGGTTAGCTGAACCGTTCGAGAAGTAAGTAGAAATTGATCATGTTGAGGACCCAGTGGGGCCTCATGAGGAGGAGCGTTGGCTCCTGCTATGACGATGTATGGTGCCACTGCTTCAGTGGTAGCACAAGTTGAAGCTTCCGCGATTATACGCTGAAATTGATGTAGAGAGGTGAGGGGATACCCAGCCTTTGGGGATGGGATGTCCAACCCTTGGGGTGTGTTAGCCCCCCAGCTCAGGAGGAGTTACGTGATGCGGGGATGGTACGCGTGGCGTGGGAGCACAGGGCGATGATGCGCGAGGGATAGGCGCGCGGCGCTAGCGCACGTCGGCGAAGGCGCTCGGCGAGGGCACGCGGCTCTAGAACGCGTCGGCGAGGGCGTGCGGCGTTAGCGCGCGTCGGCGAGGGCGCACGGCGCTAGCGCCCGCTAAAGGCGCAAGGCTAGGGGGCGCGCTGCGCGGTGTTGGTGCGCAAGACCGGCGGGCGCGCGCGGCGGCAAGGGCGTGCGCGGCATTGCAGCGCAAGGCCTGGGCGTCGGAGGTCGCGTTTGCGCGTGGTAGCCTCGAACGAGTTGTCTCGTCGCGAGGTGGTAGGGCCGAGCATTTTGAGACATGTTTCACCACAATTTAGTTGAAGCGCGAGAGTTGTCACACGGGTAAGTAGTAACTGGGGAGTTGTATCGCCCAGATGTTATATCGACTCGAGAGTTGTCTTGAGGCTAAATATTATTGTCGGGGAAGTTGTCCCGCTGCGACGTGGTAACGACTCAAGAGCTGTCTCGAGGCTAAGTGTAGGCGTCGGGGGAGTTGTCCCGCTGCGACGTAGTAGCGACTCGAGAGTTTTCTCGTGGCTATAAGACATCTCATGTACTTGAAGTAGGACATCCGATGTAGTTGAAGTAGGACATTTGATGTACTTGAAGTATGATATCAGATGTAGTTGAAGTAGGACATCTGTCGTACTTGAAGTATGACATCAGATGTAGTTGAAGTAGGACATCTGATGTACCTGAGGTAGGACATCAGATGTAGTTGAAGTAGGACATGTGATGTACCTGAGGTAGGACATCAGATGTAGTTGAAGTAGGACATCTGATGTACTCGAAGTATGACATCAGATGTAGTTGACATCTGATGTACCTGAGGTATGACATCAGATGTAGCTGAAGTATGACATCTGATGTACGTGAGGTATGACATCAGATGTAGTTGAAGTAGGACATCTGATGTACTCGAAGTATGACATCAGATGTAGTTGACATCTGATGTACCTGAGGTATGACAGCAGATGTAGCTGAAGTAGGACATCTGATGTACCTTAGGTATGACATCAGATGTGGTTGAAGTAGGACATCTGATGTACTCGAAGTATGACATCAGATGTAGTTGACATCTGATGTACCTTAGGTATGACATCAGATGTAGTTGAAGTAGGACATCTGATGTACTCAAAGTATGACATCAGATGTTGTTGACATCTGATGTACCTGAGGTATGACATCAGATTTAGCTGAAGCATGACATCTGATGTACCTGAGGTATGACATCAGATGTAGTTGAAGTAGGACATCTGATGTACTCGAAGTATGACATCAGATGTAGTTGACATCTGATGTACCTGAGGTATGACAGCAGATGTAGCTGAAATAGGACATCTGATGTACCTTAGGTATGACATCAGATGTAGTTGAAGTAGGACATCTGATGTACTCGAAGTATGACATCAGATGTAGTTGACATCTGATGTACCTGAGGTATGACAGCAGATGTAGCTGAAGTATGACATCTGATGTACCTTAGGTATGACATCAGATGTGGTTGAAGTAGGACATCTGATGTACTCGAAGTATGACATCAGATGTAGTTGACATCTGATGTACCTGAGGTATGACAGCAGATGTAGCTGAAGTAGGACATCTGATTTACCTTAGGTATGACATCAGATGTAGTTGAAGTAGGACATCTGATGTACTCGAAGTATGACATCAGATGTTGTTGACATCTGATGTACCTGAGGTATGACATCAGATGTAGCTGAAGCATGACATCTGAATGGCCTAGTCGATCATATGTCGAATATCCTCTTTGGTTATCTGAACCATGTGAGGTGGAGCTGGTTGATGAGGGTCTTGCTGAAGGTTTCGAAGTGGATCTGGGGCGCGACCTCAAGTGTCATCTTGAAGATAGCCTCGAGGATCATCACGAGGGGGTCTAGAAGGGGATCTCGGTCACGACGTCAGGTGACGTCCCGAGACATGTCAAACCTGAACCTGCACGTGGCAAGTTGGTTGTTGTTCTGAGGTTGTACTATGGGTGGAGCCACAGGAGGAGCGTTGGTTTCCGTTGTGGCGATGCGTTGTGCTACTGCTTCAGTAGCAACGCGGGAAGATGCTTCCGTAATCATAAGTTGAAGGGCCTCCTCGGTTATCTGAACCGTTAGAGGAGCAAGTAGAAGTTGATGACCCATGGCGAATGAAATGTTTTGGGGGCACTGTGAACCCCCAGGGAGTCGATAACCCTTGGCGAACGAAATATTTTAGGGGCAGATGTAAGCCCCCAGGGAGTCGATAACCCTTGGCGAACGAAATATTTTGGGGGCGATGTAAGCCCCCAGGGAGTCGATAACCCTTGGCGAGCGAAATGTTTTGGGGGCACTGTATACCCCCAGGGAGTTGATAACCCTTGGCGAGCGAAATAATTTGGGGGCAGATGTATGCCCCCTGGGAGTCGATGGCGGTGGTGCCATAGGTGGCTCCACATGTGGAGCAGGTGCTGGTATCGCGTTGGGAGCATTTGCTCCCATCGTGGCGATATATTGGGTCTCGGCCTCTGTGGCAGCGCGAGTTGAAGCTTCTGCTATCATGCGTTGAAGCGCATCCTCGGTTATTTGAACCATTCGAGGAGCAGGGAGTGGTGGATCGGCGAGTGGTGGGTCCCGAGGGGGGATCACCTGAACCTCGCGAGGCGGATCCATGGGATGTGGAGGAGGTGGCAAGCCAGAGCCTCCACAAGGTGGGAGGTTGTTAGCTGTGTCATTTTCTCTCCGAGCAGACGCCTCAGGAGGATCTTGTTGGCTACGTGATCTGGTTTGCATCGTTCCCACAGACGCCGCCAAAATGATGATGCTAATTACTAGCTCACCTAGGGTGGTGTAGAAAACGAACTGGGAGAGCAAAGCAGATCAGTAGCTTGACAACTTGATGATCCTGAGGTACCTGCGATCATAGAACACATAAGCTAAGCCGGGGGTTGATCCGACGAAAACCCCTCCGACGCTCAAGTCAGACGTGCTGATCATAGAAATAGTCCAGAGAATACCATTAGTAGTATTGCTCAGATAATAGGACGTACCTTAATAAAATGAGTAAAACCTCTATTTATATGTCGTTTATTGGGTTGGGTTTGCTTTGTTGGGCCCAAACCTTACTTGAAGGTGTTTGGGCCTCGGTGATATTAGTCTTCGATATTGAGCTCCTAGCCCAGTAGGTAAAGAAATTGTAGGCCCATTGGGTTGGCCCAATTAGGCATATCAAAATGTAATACAGTATCAAGCAACAAAATATTACTGATAATCAGTGCAATAATAATATCAAGAGGCTATTTGCATTTATAAACGAAAAGGAGAAATATGTTTCCAGGTAAAGTAACCGGATAGTTACAGTTTTCGTCCTTATATTATACCACTTATTCGTTTTTCGTCCCTCTACAATTGGGGGTTTACAATATTGGTCCTTAATGTTTTTAAAAAACGAACCGAACATAGAATCAGATAGCTAACTCGGTCACGATTGAAATGGTTCAACCGAATTTATTATTATTATTATTTTAATCATTTATAAAGCATTTTTCTTATTTTACTAAATCACATATTTTTTAAATTGGCTTACTAAAGTTTGTTTAACTAGTAGTTTAAAGAAATTAGAATGAGCATGGGTTTATATAAGAAGGGCAACATAGGTATTTTTAGAAATTCATAGCTAGGAAAAACTCTACCACTTGCGAATTGGGCGAGTGAAATACACTCACTATTGAATATCTCAGGAAAGCTACTCATCATAAACTACAAGGGGGTTATCCACCTATATTAATACCACATGGGGGTTAAGTGAAAAATAGAGAAACTACATGGGGTCAAGTGCTATTTACCCTTAATATTATTAATTAACACAATAATATCAAAACATAGATAAATAGAAGAGTAAAAAGCAGTTTGCCCCCTAAACTATGACCCGTTTTGCGCTTTGCCGCCTAAACAATTTTTTTTTGCACGTTCTTACCTAAACTCGTTTTTTTGTTGCACGGTGCCCCCTAAACTAAAGTTTCCGACAATTTCGATCGGAATGTTAAAACACGCGGGTTGCACGTGATATTTGCAGGGATAAATTCGTCCCTTCACTTATATTCTATATATTAATTATGAATTAATCATTAAAAAACAAATAAAACAAAAAAGAAAGTATCATATCTTCCTCCCAAACCCATCCCCAGCCAGAAAATCACCGATTCGTCCGCCTCCATTCCTGCTATTCTCTCTTTCCATCACCACCTGTTTTCTTGACGTTTTCCTTTACATGTCCATGGCTGTGAGAAATAGGTCGAAATCTTTGGCCCAATTATTTCGGGGCGATGAAAATTGGGAATTTCGGTAATTTTTTTGGGCTTGTTTTGATCGTAGTGAAACATTGGGTGTGTCTTTAATGGCTTGATTTTGTAGTTGTTGAAAAGTTTGTCGCTTCTCTCCAATCGAAGGTGAAATTGGATGAGGCGGCAAAGCTTATTGCTGCTTTGGATGTTCCTGGTGGAAGTGGTGGTAGAAGGCGGAGATACGAGTAGGGATGGAAGAGGTTGTGGTGGGTTTATTCGATGATTTTTTCGACCCATTTTAATAGCTCCTTGGAGATGGATTGTCTTTTGAGATGGGTTTTTGGAAGAACACTCTTAGCCATTTGCTGTAGAATAATATATTTGGTGTGTGTTTAGGGAAAATGTCGAGATGATTTATGATTAGTTTTGATTGTTGAATTTTATTTTGCCTAGAAATTGGTGCACAAAGGGCTTTGGAGATGGATTTGAACCAGAGTTGAGTTGGGGAAGAAGACCAGTTGGAGAAGATGACCAAAATGGAAAAGAGAAGAAAAAATTAAAGTCAGACAATAATAAAAGTAAAAAGACAAATTTACCCCTCCAAATATCACATGTGCGTGAGATTCCGGTGACATTTGTCGGAAAATACCACTTTTAGGGCACCGTGCAAAAAAAACTCGAGTTTAGGTAAGAACGTGCAAAAAAAAATTGTTTGAGGGGCAAAGCGCAAAACCGATCATTGGGCAAACTGCTTTTTACTCAAAAAATATGAACCAAACAAAAACTCAAACACAGAAAATTTCCCGATCACCAAATTCCCTACTCACGCATGACACACCCCCACCGTTTCCAATTTCCGACGCTGTAAATTTCAACCATTCTCTCACCTACCTCCTTCTGCCCACTTCTCAAAACCCATCTCCCTCGCCACCCCAGATCGAATTCCGCGCTCAAACCCATCTTTTGCGCCCTAAAAAAGCAATCTTTGCACTCGGTTCAGCAGCAATCCTCGTACAATCCCACCACCACTTGGCTCTCCAATGTCCACCAAGGAATAGCGGCGCTCGCCATTTCTCTGGCCCTCAATTTTACACTACCAATTTTGACCGACCCGCTTTGGCGTCGGAATTCGATGTTCTTAACGACGGCCCGCCCAAAGATTCGTACGTTATCGACGACGCCGGAGTTCTCAGCCGCGTGACGAAATCCGATTTGAAGAGATTGTTGTCCGATTTGGAGTTCAGAAAAGGCTACCACATTAACGTTGTCACTGTCCGCAAGCTCACTGTAAGTTAAACTTTTGCTACTGTGTGTCAGTGTGTGTGTGTGTGTGAAATATACTACATTTGAATTTGAATTTTTAACTGAGCTGAACAGAGATTAGTTACTATGTTATCGGATTTAGGAATGCAAGAATTAGGTGAATAAATAAATAAATAAATAAAATAATGTTCTAACATTTTTGATGTTGTTTGCCTGAAGAGCAAAGCAGATGCATTTGAATATGCTGACCAATTATTGGAAAAATGGTACCCGACTATTGAGGAAGGCAATAACAAAGGCATAATTGTTCTCGTCACAAGTCAAAAAGAAGGCGCTGTGACAGGTGTCCCTGATTTCATCAAAGCTGTCGGTGATTCTATTCTCGACGCCACTGTATCCGAAAATCTTCCAGGTATATATATATATCTGTGTGTGTGTGTGTGTGTGTGTGTGTGTGTGTGTGTGTGTATTCGTTGATGGAATCGTGAATCTTGAAAATTTTCCAAGAAATTAATTGATACATTGTACGATTAGTGTCTGATTGTACCGTACTGGTTTTAAATTGTTGCAGTGCTGGCGGTAGATGAGAAGTACAATGAAGCAGTATATAGTGCCGCTAAGCGTTTAGCGTCTGCTGTGGACGGGCTTCCGGATCCCGGGGGCCCACAGGCTAAGGACTACAAAAGAGAATCGAACTTCAAAACGACAGATGAGAAACGGGGTCAGTTCACTCTTGTTGTTGGAGGTTTGTTAGTCATTGCTTTCGTTGTTCCTATGGCACAATACTTCGCTTATGTCTCCAAGAAATGAAGCAATCCCGGATTTTTTTTTTTAAACTTCCCATTTGAGTTGAACGAGTGTATAAAATGATGTATAAATGTTCGTATCGAGTACTGATTCACCTAGTCATGAATCAGCGAATTAAAGTTTCGTGATATCATCTTTCGTCTCCATTTTTTTGTTGTTTTTTCGTGATGATTCGGTTAGATGTTTAGAGAGTGCCTCGATAACTAAAATCCATATGGAAAATATTGTATGATTAATTAATTATATATAAACAAATATTAGAAATTCAAAAGAATGATAAGTGTCTTTAGAATTTTAGTTTTAGAAGAAAGGGCATCTTGTCTGCAAACGGCGGATCGGAGTATTTTCCCATGAGAACCTGCGACGCAACGTACTGATTTGCAGCTTCAGTGTAGTGAATCCCATCCCAGTTCACGTATTCTGTGCTGTCATCGCAACCTTTGACCGTGACGGAACTTCCGTTCACAACCTTAGTTTGACCACACGAAATCCGACTGTCGTAATTCAACGGCGGACCTCCATAACCACAGCAGGCCATCAATGGCTGCTCAAATCCTGTAAGTTCGATTACGATTTGAATTTTGAATAAACTTACTCTTTATTTTGAATAAACTTACTCTTTAATAGCGGACTTTGATTTTAGTAGTAGGTTTGAAAAAATGTGAATCTTGCCAATCGAACATGTTATTAGCCCCTACAATTTAGTCAGTAGAACTTTATAGCGGTAACCGAACGAGCCCTAATTATCTATAAAACTACTTAATTTACAATAATAAAATATAATTTAAAGGACAAAATTGTATTTTTTCCTTTTTAGTCACCTCTATTAAATTAATATCAGGGGGAGGGGTGCTACTAATTTAATGAAATAATAGCATTTAATAGCGGACTTTAATTTTAGTAGCGGGTTTGAAAAAGTGTGAATCTTACCAATCGAACATGTTATTAGCCCTTACTATTTAGTTCGTAGAACCTTACAGCGGTAACCAAATGAACCATTAGATCATTTAATTTAATTGTGGTTGCTCATATGTAACTTAGAAAGGGCCAATTCCAACAAACCGTAGCTTTTTCTTCCGTTTCTTTGTGAATCTTTGACTGATTTGGAAAACTGTGAGTGGGTTGCTTCGGGTTTGTTGGAGGTTTTTTGAGGTCGGACACTCTTCGATATATCATGTGTGAAATTCGGAGCTTGAAACGGTAAAGTGTTGGAGACCGCTGTTTTGGATCTGTGATGTGGACCCGAGGAATGAGGACTGAGTTGGCGGAAAAAGTCTTCATCGCCTGCAATTATGTGTGAATTGCTTCGGGTTTTAATTTTTGCACTCTAATATTTGTATTGTTTGAATCCTATTATTTTTGTAATAGTTCAATTTGTAATGGCTATACTTAATTTTATCTTCTCTGGACGGATCCCCAATAGTATGTGTAGCTCGTTTTTGTTATTTCTTGACTCGTAATTTTTTAAGCGTAGTTTCACAATGAGAGCTTTGATGAATCTTATCCATCTAGTAAGATTGGATCCCCAATAGTATGTGTAGCTCGTTTTTGTTATTTCTTGACTCGTAATTTTTGAAGGGTAGTTTCGCAATGAGAGCTTTGATGAATCTTATCCATGGGTGGAAATTGGAACGAAAATTCCGATTTCCGCCGAATCCGATCCGAAATATTCCGATTTTGGAACGACTTTTTCAATTCCGAATTCCGAAATTCCTATTTCCTAAAATTCCGAAAAAAATCGGATCGGAATCGGAAATAGATAACAGAATTTCGGAATTTCCGATTTCCGATCCGAAATTATTCCGATTATTTCCGATTTATTCCGATTTTTCTAATTATAATATTAATATTTATACTATATATAATATATAATATATGTATATACCTATCCGCCTGTACTAATTACTAGTATATTACTAATATTTTTTTTCCAATTATTATATATATATATATATTGGACATATTATTAATTTTTAATTTTCTAAAACATACAAAAGTCAAAAACTCAAAATTTATTAAAATTACTTCGAAACCCTAATTTCCCGACTCTCTCTCTCAGCAATCCGACCTTTCTTTCTTCCCCACCACCACCAGCGCCTTCTCCAACGACCACCACCACCACTGCCTCCCGGTTCTCCGACGACCACCACCACCACTGCCTCCCGGTTCTCCGACGACCACCACCACCAGCAGCGCCTCCCAATTCTCCGACGACCACCACCACCAGCAGCGCCTCCCAATTCTCCGACGACCACCACCACTTGCGCCTCCCGATTCTCCAACCACCACCATCGCAACCAGGCCTCCCAGCTCTCCGAAGACCACCACCACCAGCGCTTCCCGGCTCTCCGAAGACAACCACCACCAGCGCCTCCCGGCTCTCCGACGACCACCAGCAAAGCCGCTCTCTCTATCGGGTACTTTTAGAATAAATCTAATTTAATTGATTCAAATTTAATCTAATTTTATATGTGGTGTGTTTTTGTTTTTGTGTGAGTATGTTCTGTTTTGCTACTGTGTCGGTGCTCATTTTTTTTTTTCTTTTTTTTTTTTTTTTTTTTGGAAAATTCCGAAAATTTCTGAAAAATTCCGAAAATGAAGATTTCCGAAAAATTCCGATTTTCCGAAAATTCCGATATAATCGGAATCGGAATCACTTTTTGAATTCCGAAAAAATCGGAATTGGAATCGGAAGTCGTTTTGGACTTCCGAAAAAAATTGGAAATTTTCCGAAACACCCAAATCCGATCCGATCCGATCCGTCCGATTTCCACCCCTAAATTCTTATCCATCTAGTAAGATTGTTATTGTACCAAAATGCGAAATCTCTCGCCCCAGGACCCCATCCCTTGGCCCGTGGGTTGATGATGCATCATTCACCATTTTTTTTTCTTTGGTCATAAATCTATTATTTTTACAACAAAAAATAACTAACTCAATAATATTTAAATAAAAAAATTACAAAATTACAAGCCAATAGAACAATTGATGACATGTAAATAGGAACTCTATATAATTTTATTATAAACATGTATGAAGTTTGTCACAAAAATTTGTTGGATTTGTAAGAACTCCATATAATTATTTTCAATCTACTTACCCTTCTAGAATGTACCTTGAACTTTTATATGTGATTTAGAAAGCTACTCTCAACTGTACGATTAAGTCAATCACTATTATTCACTATGCAAATGGAGTAGTATTAATAGAAATCGCATTTTATTTGTAAATCAACTAAACAAATGTATAAAAATTTAAACCAATAGTAAATTTTATATATTCCAATCGTACACGCCTTGGGCGCCCATCTAGGGCGTTCAATTAAAAGAAGAAAAAAAATTGCACTAGACGCCCAACTCGGGCGCCCAAATGCAGCTTGCACGCGTGCACTGCATGAATGGGCGCCCAAGTTGGGCTTTTACGCGTTTTGGGGAGATTTTTGGATTTTTTTGGGAAATTTTGGGGTTTTAGAGAGATAAAATGTTTTTTATTATAAACCACAAATAGCAATATTCAAACCGTAAATAGCAAGTGCCTAATTTTATTATACATTTGAGTCCACTTAATAATATATTATATATACCAAAGGCTCCGTGGTTTTTGTATATTCAAATTTAAATGTATTTATAGGTGAATTATTTGTGTTGATAACTTGGGCGGCCCATTAACAGCGGCCCATTAATACCATTCTTTATAACTTTGACGACCCAATATCATACAGGTTTCTCTGTTAAAGTTTCTTTGTTTTGATACAAAGTTTCTCTTCGGCTATGGTGGTGGAAGAGATGGCGGCGGAGGAGGCTATGGTGGTGGAAGAGATGGCGGCGGAGGAGGCTATGGCGGTGGAAGAGATGGCGGCGGCGGAGGAGGAGAAAGTGGTGAAATCATTCAAAGACTTGGGCGTGAATGAACAATTAGGGGAGGCCTGTGAAAGTCTGGGCTGGAAAAACCCTTCGAAAATACAGGAGGAAGCAATTCCTCACGCTCTCCAAGGAAAGGACATAATCGGACTCGCCCAAACGGGTTCGGGTAAAACCGGCGCCTTTGCAATTCCAATTCTTCAATCGCTTCTTGAAGCGCCGCAGTCCTTTTTCGCGTGCGTTCTCTCGCCCACGCGCGAGCTGGCAATTCAAATTGCCGAGCAGTTCGAAGCCTTGGGTTCTGGAATTGCTCTAAGATGCGCAGTGGTATATTATTTGTGTTAATAGTTGCTGCTACTAAAAAAAATTTAGTCTTTGTGTGTTTTTATTTATTGAATTTTTGTTGCTCGGAATGTTTCTTTTGCAGCTCGTCGGAGGGGTGGACCAAGTACAGCAGAGCATTGCGCTTTCGAAGCGGCCGCACATTGTTGTGAGTTTGTGTTTTATTGCATTATTAAGTAGCTTCTTTATGTTTATCTTGAAGAAAGCCTAGTAGCGAAATCCATCTACTTGTAGTTAGTGATATAAATATAAGGGTAAATTACAGCCAATCCCCTGAGTTATGTTCAAATTACGAAAACCCAATTACGAAAACCCCCTCCTGTTTGGGTAATTAAATTTAGCGGTGTTAAATCGGTAAAATCGGACCGAAATTTCGATACGCCAACATTTCATACCGTTTACCGTACTGAATATACGATTTGGTTCGGTAAATTACCGAATTACATAAATTTTATTTAAAAATATTTAAAAGGAGGGGTGGCTCTAATTACCCAAACAAGAGGGGTTTTTTCGTAATTTGGCGATACCTCAGGGGGTGGCCGTAATTTACTCTAAATATAATCAACATTTGTAGAGAAGTTGCACTTCAAGTATATCATGTGTTGGATCAGTTAGCATTTTTAAGTTGTGGTCAAAATATACTGCGACCAAGTTTTAGCATTTGCTTATGTGTTGGATACATACTCGACTATTTACAAAACATCAGCCTGGAGAAAATAAAAAACGGTAATAAACAGAAGTTTCTTCGAATGTCTAAATAAACATACTTGTAAAATTTAAATTCATGATCAAGACTTCTGTGTATAATAAAATTCAACTGATATTGGATGGTGGGGATTTGTTTGTGTATTATAACGGATCTTAGATGGTGAACCAGTATTTATTGTGACTCTCGAGAAATAATTTTGTTGTTCTGCTATATCTTGTAGGTTGCTACGCCTGGCCGTCTTCTTGATCATCTTACTAATACCAAAGGGTTTTCGTTACGAACATTGAAATTCTTGGTAAGAATTTATTTGATTGCTGATTTGGCTTTAAGCCCTTTGTGCTGCGTCTTATAATGTGAGATAACAATGCAGATAAGAATGATATAATATATAGGTAAAACATGAATACACTTCCGTAAACGGGTTTTTTTTTTTTTTGGAAGTTTGTGAGTTAATATAAAGTCTAAAATGGTGTGAAACATTCAAAACTATCTCGGAGTGCTGTACGAAGCTGGAATAGATAATAACAAATATATTGAGGGTTTTCATTTAATTATATTAAGTAAATAAGCTGCGATGTGTAATAATTCGACAGGTGCTGGATGAAGCAGATAGATTGCTCAACGACGATTTTGAGAAATCACTCGATAACATATTGGAAGCTATTCCTAAAGACAGAAGAACGTATTTATTTTCTGCAACCATGACCAAAAAGGTACACGAAAGAGTAGTTGTATACTTATACATTAATTGTTTTTATCTTGTCACTAGTATATAATTTGTTGCAATAGTGAAGCCTATCCACAAACTTTTTATAATGAGCTGTGCCAACAATTATTTCAGGTGAAAAAGTTGCAAAGAGCTTGTCTGAAAAATCCCGTTAAGGTATTGCAAAACGCTACTTCTTTCCTCGTCACATTCTTAAATAAAATTTATCTTTTTTACCTTTCGTCTTATCGCGTCTGGTTTGGCTACAGATTGAAGCTGCTTCCAAATATTCGACCGTCGATACACTAAAGCAACAGTATCGCTTTGTTCCTGCAAAGTACAAGGTTTGTATATTCAATACTATTACATTCTTCATTGTGATAAATTATTAATTAATTTATTGCATTTTTTATTTTACCATTTTTGTTGTTTGCTACAGGATTGCTATCTCGTTTATATTTTGACCGAAATGCCGGGATGTACAGCTATGGTTTTCACTCGTACATGTGACGCAACGACGTTATTGGCACATATTCTTCGGACCCTTAGATTCGAAGCTATTCCAATTAATGGTCATATGACCCAGGTAATATTTTAGATAATTACTGGATTTTTCGTGTTTTTCATCTAATTAATCCAATTTTTATTTCTATGTGATCTTTTTTTTTTTTTTTTTTTATTGTTTGCAGACGAAAAGGCTTGGAGCCTTAAACTTATTCAAGTCCGGAAAATGCAACATTCTTTTATGCACTGACGTTGCAAGTAGAGGACTCGATATTCCAGCCGTAGATGTTGTTATCAATTACGATATTCCCACAAACTCAAAGGTTGACTTTCTGCTTTGTCGTTTTATTACAGTAAACAACAAATAGCTGTTTAAAAAAAAAACTGATTTTTTTTTTTTTTTGTGAAATGGTTATAGGACTATATACATAGGGTGGGAAGAACTGCTCGTGCTGGAAGGTCCGGAGTGGCAATATCGCTTGTGAACCAATACGAGCTCGAATGGTACATACAGATTGAGAAGCTTATAGGTAATAAAAAGCTTTATACTTGGATTGTCGATTTGATTGATTTTCGATATTCTGACATGTTTTGTTTGTACTAGGTAAAAAGTTGCCCGAGTACCCTGCCGATGAGGAAGAGGTTTTATTGCTATTGGAACGTGTTACGGAGGCCAAAAGAATGACTCAAGCGGTACACGATTTGATTAGTTTTTAACTAAGTTTCTTAAAAGAGATCATTAATATACTTCCGAGCTATTATAATATATATATATATACACTCACGCGCACACACACAAATACAGGCATATATAGACACAGTAATTTACGCTCGAGAGAGAGCGTAAATTATTGGTGCCTCAAATTTGTGACAAGTGACATTTAAATTATGCGATCAATAGCTACTGAATACAGCTCGGGTTTCGTTGAATTTGCAGAAAATTAACGAGTCTGGTGAAAAGAAGAGGAGAAAACGAGATGAAGATGATGGTGAGGAAGATCTGAAGAAGTATTTGCGTCCCAATAAAGGGAAATCGTTCAAGGGGAAAAGTTCCGGCGGTAAAGGAAAATCGACCCGGGGGAAAAGACGTTGACCTAAGAAAAAAAATTCAAATCGGATCATATTTATTTTCAATTTTGTATTATCAGTTTCCAATTTGAATTTTTTTTTTTTTTTTGGTAGAAAAATGCATATGGTGATATTTGCAGGGAATTTTGTAACTGTTACAAGTCTTACAAATTTGTAGGGTTCCTTTGTTCTGAGGAATTTCAGCTGTCCTAAATGTTATATTATGTTACATAATATTTTAATTGGAACTCTTTGGGATGTGATATTTTAATGTTTTTTTAGTGTTTGTTATAGAGTATTATGTTACATAATATTTTAATTGGATACAGAAACGACGATAAGGAGAGATCGGGAAATAGACACGGGAAAACAACATGTCCAAAAAATAGGAATACGGGAGCTTAGATGAATATTCTTTACTAACATATTTACATTTTTGTTTGTATATAAATTCATTTTATAGATTTGTATCAATTGTTAATTTGCAATCGATCATTAAATCATATAAATAATTATAGAAATAACAAAAATATTTAAAATTTTACTATTCAAACATATTTTTTAAAATTGTAACTGATTGATGTCATTGAGTATCGAACACAAAACGTAGGCAAAATGCGAAACCATTGTGAAATTGAAGTCCCATCCTACATAGATTTTAATATTTGTCAAAATATAGCAATGCTTCCAAATAAATTAATTAAAAACTAAACCTATAAGGAAGCAGAACTCAACCAATCTAATTTGACTCGATCAAATTTGTGTATTGCAACCCGAAGATCTTGGGGTAAATCTAATATTTATATATAGAATTACACTCATCATATACATTTACATATACAACTATACATATATATATAGAGGGATTATTAGCAAGACCCCCCTCATCTAGTAAATGTAGTTAAGAAAATCCCCCCTCCCAAAAATAATTTGAGAAAACCCCCTTGGTTAATATTCCACTAAATATTATTTTTATAATTCCAAATCTACCCTTAATTGTCAATATACTATTTTGAAACCCTAATTTCTCTTTCTCAAATTCACCTGCCTTTCACCACCGCCGCTGCCTCTCCCCCGCCGTCCACCGCCTTTCACCACCGCCACTGCCTCTCTTCGCATCCACTCCACCGCTTCACACCTTGCCTCGGCCAGAGATGGGTTCTGCTCGAGGCCGGCGGCGGCATCGTGCTCTTCCTCGCAGTACAGAGAATCGGAGAAGAATTGAGAGGTGTGGTGGTGTGGTGTTGCCGGAGAAGGACGTGCGGCGGCGGAAAGTGATGGGTCTGTTCATGAGTGATGGTAATGATGGTTGTGGCGGCGGTTTTGAGTGGAGGATTGCGATGGGTCTGTTGGTGGCGGCGGCTTTGAGTGGAGGATTTGTTTGCTCATCTGGGCATTTTACATCAATTTTCTTGTGTGCAAACTCCTCAACAGAATGCTATTGTTGAGAGAAAACATCAACACATTTTGAATGTGGCTCGTTCTTTGTTTTTTGAGTCAAAAATTCCTGTTGAGTACTGGAGTGATTGTGTTAGTACTGCTGTTTATCTTATTAATCGTATTCCTTCTAAAGTTTTACACAATGTTTCTCCCTACAGTATTCTTTATCCTCAGTCCCCTTTTGATTATTCTACTCTTAAGGTTTTTGGTTGTCTGTCTTTTGCTTCCACCTTGGCTGCTGCCAGAGATAAGTTTCAGCCTAGAGCAAGGCCTTGTGTTTTTATTGGGTATCCTACTGGTGTTAAAGGGTATAAACTCTTGGATATTCACAGTAGGGAAGTGTTTTTTTCTAGGGATGTGATATTTCATGAGGATCAGTTTCCTTTTGTCTCCATTCCTCATTCTTCAATTGACTCTGTGTTTGATTCTCAGCCTATTGTTCCTCTTTCTCAGTCTATTCCTCTGTCTGCTGTTCCCACTAAGCCTTATGTGGATCCTATGTCTTCTTCTTCTACTTCTCAGCCTAGAAGATCTGGTAGGCAGATTAAGCCTCCTTCTTACTTGACTGATTATGCTTGTTTTGGGTTGCATAAGTCTCTTTATCCTATTGCTTCTGTATTGTCATATACAAGTTATCTAGTGATTATAGACATTTTGTTCTTAATCTTGCTCATGATTCTGAACCTCATACTTACAAACAAGCTGTTAAGCATCCTCAATGGGTTGCTGCTATGAAAGAAGAGCTTGATGCTCTTGAGGCCAATCACAATTGGTCTGTTGTTCCTTTGCCTTCTGATAAACATACTATAAGTTGTAAATGGGTATATAAGCTCAAGAGAAAGCAAGATGGTTCTATTGACAGGTATAAAGCTAGGTTGGTAGCTCGAGGTTTTACTCAACTAGAAGGTGTGGATTATATTGATACTTTTTCACCTGTTGTTAAGCTTGTTTCTGTTAAGGTTTTGCTTGCTTTAGCTGCTGTTCATGGTTGGGAACTGCATCAGCTGGATGTTAATAATGCTTTCCTCAATGGAGATTTGCATGAAGAAGTCTACATGGATTTGCCTTTGGGGTATTCCCAGCCTTCTATATCTCCAGGTTCTTCTTCTTCTTTAGTTTGTAAGTTACATAAGTCTTTATATGGACTCAAGCAAGCTTCCAGGCAATGGAATGCTAAGTTTACTGAGGTTATTTTGGCTCTTGGTTTTATTCAATCTCAAAATGATTATTCTTTGTTTACTCGAGGTTCTGGTTCTTCCCTTATTGTCTTGTTACTTTATGTTGATGACATGGTTATTCCTGGTCCTAGTTCTGCTAATATTTCAGGTTTCAAGCAAGTTTTGAGTACTAAGTTTAAGCTCAAAGATCTTGGTCCTATGAAATATTTTTTGGGTATTGAAATTGCCAGGTCTCATTCTGGTATTTTTATTTCCCAGAGGCAGTATGCTCTCACTCTTCTTGCTGATACTAAATATACAGATTGTAAGCCAGTTACCTTACCCATGGATCCTAAATTAAAACTTTCTTCTGAAAATGGTGATTTACTGGCAGATTCTTCAGCTTATAGAAGGCTCATTGGCAGGCTGCTGTATCTTACCATTACTAGGCCAGACATTGCTTATACTGTTCATAAACTTAGTCAATTTGTTTCTGCTCCTCGTACTTCACATATGCAGGCTGTTCATCATCTATTAAGATATCTTAAAGCAGCTCCGGGTCAAGGTTTATTTTATTCATCTACTTCAGATCTTATTATCAAAGGTTTTTCAGATGCTGATTGGGGATCTTGTCTTGATACAAGGAAGTCTACTACTGGATTTTGTATTTTTTTGGGTGATTCTTTGATCTCTTGGAAATCCAAGAAGCAGGTCACTGTTTCAAGATCTTCTGCAGAGGTAGAATACAGAGCTCTAGCTACCACAGCTAGTGAATTGGTTTGGGTTCTCCAGCTGTTATGTGATTTTCAGGCTGTTCCCCCATCTACTTTGCTTTTTTGTGACAATTTGGCTGTTGTTCATATTGCCTCTAATCCCACTTTTCATGAAAGAACTAAGCACATAGAAATTGATTGTCATTTTGTTAGGCAGCAGGTTAAACAGAAGAAGTTCAGGCTCATGCCTGTTAAAAGCTGTGATCAACTTGCAGATCTCTTCACCAAAGCATTGCCTCTTCCTGCTTTTTCACATTTGTTGTCCAAGATGGCTTTTCTCAACATTTATGCTTGCTCAAGTCCATCTTGAGGGGGGGATATTGGATATGTAGCTGTTGTATTAAGCTGTGTAGTAATTTCTGTATAGCATTTATCATTTTGTATTTCTGTTCTTAATAAAACGTGTTTTATCTATCACGTTTTTATTAGTTTTCCTTTCTTTTAGCACTTTTAGGTAGTTATTGTAACAGCTATTTAGAGCTGAATTTGTTACCGTTGTAAAATACTTTTTCCCACTTTTTCAATAACAATTTCTTCTTCCTTCTTCCCTCTTCGATTTTTCCTCTGATATGAACTCCAGATTAGGGTTCTAACAGCCTATGTAACACAAGGGATGAATTATCATTCGCTTTTGGACTGATAAGCCTCGTTTGTTGGGGCGTCGCTGAAATCCCTCAAATCGTCACTAATTTCCGTACTAAATCCGGCCACGGAATTTCCCTCGCCTTCCTCCTCACTTGGATTGCCGGGTTCGTTGCTAAATATTATACCTCTCTTTCTCTTTCTCTATATTTTTTTTTTTGTTTTTGTTTTTCAGGCACAATAAAGACAAGAAATTTCTTGATTATATATATTATTTTATTTTATTGTTTTGGCAGTCACATATTCAATTTAGTGGGTTGTCTTCTTGAACCTGCAACTGTAAGTCCTGATTCTTACCCTGTTTTCTCGTTAACTTACTATTGCAACAAAAGAAAGTGTAAATTACATTTACATCTTTGAGTTATGCTAAAATAACTTTAAAGTTTTTTTAGTATTGGTAATTACCGACACACCCCTGAAACAGTACCGGATCTTAATTTCATAGCCCGGGGATCGATATGCACTATATTTGTTTCCCTTAAGCTCTATTTTGTCTTCTTCTTGTCTTCATCTTGTTGTCTTCAGCCTAATACTAATAGTCCATTAGAACACTATGGAATAAATTATCCAATGCGCTATATTTGTTTTTTTTCTAACGAGCTTGTTACAATTTTTTAGGGGTGATGGTAATTACTGAGACTAAAGGGACTTTAAAGTTATTTTAGCATATCTCAGGGATGTATGTGTAATTTACCCAAATAAATAAATAAAATTAGGTGACATAATAGTGTGAATTTTCTTTTTCTTTTTTTTCTTCTTATTGTGATATATATATTTCCTTATTTGTTTTGTATTATGTTTTTTTGGGTGGTGCATCCAGCTTCCGACTCAGTTGTACACAGCTATGGTAAGATCATTCTTTCATTTTTCTCTAGTAATCATGTATGTAATAAATAAATAAATAAATTGGTATTTAATTTTGTTTCCAATTGGAGCAGCTATACACAACCTCCACAGTAGTTCTAGTTATCCAGAGCATATACTAGGATTATTTTCGCAACAAATTAAATGGCGAAACATCCACCACAAACACTCCAATCAAGAGGTATATTAATACTTATATATGAATTCAAATTGCATTAATAAAATAAAAATCTTTAAATAATAATTTAGATCAATGGCTGCGTATTGCTCGACTTATTCGTATCCTTTTTTAACTTAATTTAGATTTAAGTAATAATTTATTATATTAAAAAAAATGAGCAACCTTAATTAGTGACAACAGATAATACTACAGTATGTGTACTACAGATATCCTTGGAAGGAAAATTGCAGCAACCTGAAAGAACACGAAGAAAGAAAATGAAACCATATATATTCTTCTTTTTAAATATGGTCTCTTTTGTAATTTAAATGAAACTATTGGTCTTTTTTGTAATTTAAATCCCCACTCCCCAGTGAGTGTTTGTTCTTTTTGAGTATTTCTTTAAATTAGGGCCCAATAAAATATTTAACTCAGTCCAACAAGCTCTGGCCAATCAGAGGCAAAGGGCCCAACTTGATGCCCATGTACATCTAATATTTTACTTCCTTAAAATATTCCCTTCCATATATATTTATATTTTATATTTATAGCTATAAATTAAATTAGCTATAGCCTTTAACTAAGCTAATTTGTGGGTAATGGTCATTTTGGGGGGGCCCACAGTGAGACCAAGAATCCGCGTGAACGAAGGAAATAGTGTTGTGGTCCCCACTGGATTTACGAGTTGTGCAAATTGACTATATATATATTTTTGTGTTATTTATTTAATTAATTAATTAAATTATAATTTTGGTATAGGAAGAGTAGAAGTTGAGGCATGTACGAATATTCTTTGCGCAGTGGATATGGAGTTGAAAGAATGTACAGAAAAATATTTAATATGGAGAGTGCTACTCTGCTAATACTTGCCATTGTGTTTTTGATTGTTGTACCTAATTATTTAATTATTTAATTAATTAATTAGTTAATTAGTTAATTAATAATTGTATCCCAATTTCGACAATTATTCTTCTATTTTGGTTCAAATTTCAAGTGCTGTTTAATTATCTTGTCTCCTTTATGTTGCATTTGTATTACAGTATCAGTCCTTATTATAATATATATAAATAAGCAGAAAATGCACTATAAATTTCCCATTTTCACACTTTCACACTTTCACCCCTAAAAATAAAAAAAAATGTGATAACCCACCTTCGAAATATTTTTTTGGTTGCACTTTTGCCCCAAAAGCCAATTTCTAGTGGCCATTGTGCTCCAAATATAACATTTTAAAGCGGCAGTATGCAGAAAAAAACAATATTTTTAAGGGGTAATGTGTAACAAAAATAACATTAAAGAGGCAACGTGCAACAAAAACACTCAATTACGGTGAATAATCCATCAGAATTTTGCTACTGGGGCAATGTGTAACAAGAATAACATTTTGAAGGGGCATTCACTTTTTTTCTAAATTTGGAGGGGGTAAAGTGCGAAAATCAGAAATTTATAGGGGGTGGTGTGCAATTTGACCTATTAATAAAGAAGAGAATTACTTAAACAGAAGACCAAAATGACATAAAAGCTTTTATTCTTATAGTTCTACAGTAAAAGGTAGGCCAAATTCTAATACATGAACTATTTATTACTTTTGCGAATGCTAAAAAAGGAAATAAAAACAAAACTTACAATTTAATTTCCATTTCGTGGACATCAAACGATTTGTTTCGAAGTAATGTAAGAAGAATGAGTGTCCACGATGAGTTTGATAAGCGGGTCTTCCACGTCAGCACCGGACTCAGTCTTGTCCCTTTGAACAATTACGTTTCCGCCCTTTGTGACGACAATAACTTCCTCTTTGCGTGTCAAAAGCTCGTTGGCTACAACCATATCCATATTGTATTTCTTAAGGGCCATATTAGCCTTGTCCACAAGAATCTTCGTATCCGTCTCTAACTGTATCATGTTAAGCACATGTTCAAAATGATATCCGTTCTATTCACACACACACACACACACACACACACACACACACATATATATATATATATATATATATATATATATATATATATATATATATATGTTACCTTAAAGGAAATGCAAAAGGCGAGAGGAGCCCAATCTTTCCGGAGCACTGAAAGCATCTTCGGGACCTGAGCAAGTCGCATGTCCAAAGGTCCAGAGCTCGATTGTATTTTATGCACCGTCTGCATCAAATCAATACCATTTCTAAATAAATATGAATGCATGAAATCGCCCCATTTTTGTAGATATTCTATGATTTAATCCCGAAAAATATAATTAAATAATTTAGTCATAATAAAGAGAGATCTAGAATTTCTTCAATGGAGATTTTGCGAAACAATCCCTGTGTTGCGGGAGCATATAAAAATATAATAAAAAAATCAACTTGTTTTCGACATTAAATTCTGAAAAGCGTCTTTTTTTTCTTTTGTTGATTGGTTCATTACTTACCATGCTCTCCCAAGGAACGTAAAAATCAGAAACAGCAGCAGCAAGATAGAATAAAGCACTTGGCCCAAGGCTCCTCATTGACAGCGCAATCAACTGCAAAATCTGCGAAGAAAATGAGACAGTAATCGTAAGTTAACGAAGGAAAAATAACCAATTCGTACCCGTAACTTGCCAAGCGATATACGTCTCGACAATCTATTAAAAAATATTGGCTCCATCGCCAAAGAAAATATAGGTGTCATCAAATTTAAAGTACTAGTTAGTTTTAAAGATAAATTCGCAGCTTTCTCCAGTACAAGAGAACTTGAATTGTCGAAAAGCTAAGACAAGAACATTATCATTTTCTTCTCCCTCGCAAATAATTTACCATACTCAGATAAGGGACATGATCGAAAAATCGTTTAAAAAGAAAGGCATGTATGTTAATCATCAACAAGAGAAACGTGGAAAATAAATTTAAAAAACCGATCTTGGACCCCATTCTAGAATATTATTCAGATCCATACGCATCCAAACGATTACTCTGGTCCTCAAGACGTATTGTTTTTCATAAAACCATATTCTTGATTAAGCAAATTAACATCAGAAAGACGAACACACCCTCAATAAAACTCAAGAAATTAAAGAATTAGGAGGCACACCTTTGCAAAAGCATGGATATAATATGGTAGACATGATAAATGATAAAATCGAAAGATATATACCACATGAATGCTTATAGAATTTCATGAAAATCAGCCTTTTATGAAGTCGGAAAAAGATTCCACAGATGATCCTGATTGAAAATTCGCATTTACAGGATCTTAATTGCCAACAAAGAGATTTCTATGGAAAGTTTGTAAGACTTCTATACATCTAATACTTGATCAAACCATGGTTGTTTTTCAGTTACGGGTTTTCCACATAATTCTTGCATTTAAAACTTTTTTCTCTTGCATTTTACTTAGTGATACTTGCTTCGGACCGTTCTTATCATCCAGTGGGAGTAAAAGGAATATATACGTTCTTGTTTAATTTATCAACACTCTCCCCCAACATCTGAGCCTCAATTATAGAACTGGTCTAAATTTGCACAGAATTCTTTCCAGTTAAACAAATTCCTAACTAAAAAAACACGAGACGGCATTTTTTATTTAAATTTATGGAAAACATAACAGTAAGACTACCTGAAGATACTCAAAAATTGTTGTAAAGGGAAGTTTCAGCAAAGTGCCTCTCGTAACTGCCTGCAAACAAGATTGAATAGTCCCGGTTCAATCATACAAGTCATAAGTAGAGTAAAATATCATGAGAACAGAGGAAATACTTACCAAATGATTGTCAATGATGGCTCCCTCGACTGTTTTCGCATGTATTGGGTTCACTGAGATAGAAATGTATTACAGTATCAAGCAACAAAATATTACTGATAATCAGTGCAATAATAAAATGAAGAGGCTATATGCATTAATAAACGAAAAGGAGAAATATGTTTCCAGGTAAAGTAACCGGATAGTTACAGTTTTCGTCCTTATATTATACCACTTATTCCTTTTTCGTCCCTCTACAATTGGGGGTTTACAATATTGGTCCTTAATGTTTTTAAAACACGGACCAAACATAGAACCAGATAGCTAACTCGGTCACGATTGAAATGGTTCAACAGAATTTATTATTATTATTATTTTAATCATTTATAAATAGTTATAAAGTGTATCTTGTAAAAATCCATTCAAAATAAACTATCCATCACTAAATATCAATCTAAAGACTCCAATAAATTTATCAATCAATTTAAGCATAAACAAATTAAATTAAATATTATAACGTGTACTCAGGGGTGAAAATTGGAATGAATGTTTTTATATCCGACGGTTCCGATCCGATATTTTCTGATTTTGGAACAATATTTTCTAATCCAAATTCCGAAAACCCAACTTCCGATTTTTCCAAAAATATTTGGATCGGAATTGAAATATATATATGAGATTCCGATCCGATTTAAGTTCCGAAAATTCCGATTATTTTTGTTCCGAATATTGCACTTAAAATACCAATATTATTATGTATTTTATATTTTAGGTGACAAAAAATTGGAAATTTCCAATTTCCGCCGGTACCGATCCGAAGTTTTCCGATTTTTTTTGGAACGGAAATGAAACTACTTTTTGCTTCCGAAAAAAAATCGGAAATTTTCCTACAGGGCTGACTCCGATCCAACCCGTCCAATTTACACCCCTACGTGTACTTGTATCCTAATACTAAGATATCATGCAATATTTATGTCGTAGAATGCCTATGTAGAACGCAATAAAATACCTGTCACATTTGATCCATTAGTAACTTCAAAACACTCGAGCAATGGATCGTCTGGAAGAGACCTGCAATACGGCTGGCAAGTTCCTCTGCATAAAATTTTCAATAAATCATGAAATACATTTTGAGTAGACGAATTAACATTCTAACAAAACGGGCAAACAAGCTCTGGTTTGTGAAGTTACCCACCGACGATAAAGAAATACCACAGCATATCCAGCCTTCAGAAAATACCTGCAGTTCCAGTTACAAACTCTCTTGTAAACAAAAATATAAACGAAACATCAAAATCATGAACAGAAACATAAACAGAGAATAATGTAGTTTACTCTGTGGATGCAGCTCCTCTATGACCAGAGCTGAAATTGTCAATGTAACGAACGCATCGTTGTTCCAAAGGTACGGTTGTACCGCCAGATGTCACGCATACAACTCTATTGGCTCTTCCTTCTTCAAAGATACATGTAAAAGAATCGCAATAAGTTGCAATTGAACTATCGGAAAAGTAAACATGTGATTCAAACGTAATTAAATAGCAAACCTACCCAGGAATTCTTCGACTTTTCTTTTGATTGCTTCACCATCCTTTAGAGACGGGGCGGAATCGAAGAAAGAGTTGATTTCTTCGAAATTTGCGGAACCATTTGATGCGTCCATCATATGAAATTGGTTACCTGTAAAAACCAAAACCCTGGAAATCGATGAACTCATGAATGAACAAATAGCTGAACGATAACTAAAAAAAAATATAAAAAAAAATTACATCAATGTGGTGTATGGGTTATTTGATTTCCGATAACAAAAGCTAAAGCATATGAAAAAAATATTTTTAACCATAAAAATATATATATATATATATATATATATATATATATATATATATATTGATTTTAAAATATCCAAATTAAGTTCAAATTCTCGAAAAAAGAAAAATCGAGACTTGGGATAGTCTCTGAATTATGTGGCGTGGCTAGAGAAAAGCGGGGGTTGCAGCCTCCATCTCTAATTTTAATAGAATATGACTTTAATAGCCGTAATTTCCATATCTAAGTTTTTATATAAGTAAACCTACGGATATATGATGCTTATTTACTGCCCACTTAAAATTAAATTCCTCCTCCTAAATTATTGAGACGGTATTTTAAATAAATAAGAGCTACAATAATTGCAATAGAATCATAAATATCTCTTAGGGGGTTTGCTTTTATTGGGCTTACTTAAATATGGACTTCTTCGAGCCTACACCCGGTGATAGATACTGGGTGGATCTTATGGTGTCATGTGCTATTTTTTGTATTTTATAATATATTCCCCCATTAGGGTTTACCTTTAAGGGTTTTAGAAAAATAAAAAAAGGACACGTGGCAGCAGAAAATCTACCTGGTGTTTACCACCAGGTGTACGGTCGAAGGAGCCCTTAAATATGTTATACTATTTGTCGGCGGATGATATGAAAAGGAAAAAGATAATAAAAACTGAAATGCTAATTGCAGCGGGACTTTTACTGAAATTGACTTATTTGCGGTGGTATTCTCATTTCTCTTTTTTTCCAACTTCATAAAAAACCCAAAACTCTCTCAACTTAATAAATTCGAAAAAGGAGAATTTCAATTTTTTTTGACAAACAAACTACCGATCAACAAGAAATTCTTCAATGGCCGATTCAGATGACTTCTACGAGGTAAAAACGAAGAAATTTTAGGGAAAATTGACGGAGGAATCTTGTTGTGTTGCACGAGAACTCAAAATAATTGAGGTTCCCGTAGCACATGAGTGCTGTGCTACACAGCACGGCAAATTAAATAAAAAAAAAAAAAGAAAAAAAAAAACTTTTCTTCTTCTGCAGGACGGAAAAGGGGGTAGGATCATCCTGTAGGGCACAATTGATTGTTAATTTTTTTTCTTTTATTCCATAGTATTATTATTATACTACTATTATTTGTTATACTTTGGTAGGCTAATGAAGGTGATTTTGACGATGATTTTTACGATGAATTTGCTGCTGAATATGAGAACGAGTACGAGAATCCTAACATGTGATATGATGTTTCTCAAAACACAACAACTTCTGAGAATCACGGTCAATATTTCAATGTGGATATTGAGTTTGAAAAATGCAAAGAATTAGTGGTATGAGCAAAGAATTATTGAGAGGGAGCCACGTGAAGCCGACATTAATTATGGATCGACTGAGGAAGGATAATCCATAGACATCGATTAGCGTGAAACATGTCTACAACCAACTTGAAAATATGAAAAAAGAGAATATGGCGGGGAAGACTGTGATCCAACACGTAATGTCGAGCCTCCAAGAAACTGGATATGAATATTGGTATCGAAGTAATGAAGCTGGTGATACACTTACTGATTTGATGTTTGTCGCTCCTATTTCACTAAAACTTTTGCAGTTATTCTCTCACATTATATTGATGGACTGCACTTACAAAACCAATAGGTATGTAGTTATTTTGTATTTAGTTATTGTACATTGATTCATTTGATATTTTTGTTTAGGCTTAAAAATATTTTATGTATATGTATGAAATGCCACTACTGGAAATAGTTGGGATTACACCTGTTGGTTACAATTTTACAATTGTTGTTGCTTTCATGTCTTATGAAGATGCAGACACATATGCATGGGCTATGAGTTGTTTGAAATGTGCATTGGGTGGGCTGGTACGTGATGTCATATTGATGGATCGTGAATTGAGACATATTAAAGCAATGCCTCAAATTTTCCCAAATTCTGCACATTTCTTGTGTTTATTTCACATCAATAGAAATGTGGAAAAAATGCGTCGAAATTTATTGGAAGTAGTAAACACGGGGTTATATTCCAACGCGGACATTAGGCAACGCTAGTGGAATCAAAAACATAAGAAGATTACTATGAAAATTACGAGGAAATAGTTAGACGCTATGATTGTTAACCCAAACTGATATCATACCTTAACGATACTTGGTTGATATACAAGCAAAAATTCGTTAAAGCATGGACTAATAAGATTTTGCATTTGGGGAACTCGCCGACTAATAGGTATTTCCTGTTTAATTTTTGGTATGTATTTTATAATATATTGTTGGTGTTTTTAGTTATTAGTTGCATTTTTTATGCCTATCAACAGGGTGGAAAATGCTCACAATTCTTCGAAGGGTTGAATTAGTGCTTTCTACCGGCGTTGTTAACACCATTCAATATCAGCTTGATTTCGGGGTCAAGCATCAACTTACGAGGATCAAAGGGGAGTTTTCAAAATTCAAATTAATCAGGAAGCATAAAACAGCGTATCCGGTATTTCAGGGTTTGATATAAGGTTACATATAAGGCATTAAATTTGCTGGATGATGAGCTTGGTAATACGGGGGTTGAAGACCCATCTAGTTGTGATCACGTTCTATAGGTTACTCATGGACTTCCGTGTGCGTGCCAAATTTCGTCAAAAATCTAGCAACGTGATACATTTATAACTACGGATCTACATCTATTCTGAAGTACCATGCACGTCGTTGAAGAACCAAAAATACCCGAAGCACAGGTAGACCGCGAAGCGGATATGAGAAACCAGATAATCAGACTGGCCACCGAGGTGTTACAAAAAGATTACATGACTCAAAAAATGACTGTTGATTACATGAATAACACTATTAATCCTAACACGATCCACTTCGTTGACCCTGCATATGTTAAACCAAAGGGACGACCAAAGGATAAATCGATGAAGAGAGATAAATCTGGTTGGGAGTTCTCACAATTCTCGCCGAAGTCGTCTATTGATGAAGAAAAGGGTAAATCGTCTGCAGGTTCTAAGGGTCGAAAAAAGTACTTGTACCGGAACGCCACCATCGAAAGTAACCGATCCCGCTCCCGGTCGCAGACGGGGGTGAGGTTAGGGTAGTGGTAGATCACGTGATGAATCTACTGCCAATCAGAATCGCATTTCGTTTCCACGAAAGGAACCGGGCGAAGAGCTCAATTTCAGATCTTACATCCCAGATTTTGTGGCAGAATCTATTGTGTCTTATGTTAATATTGTCGTAGAAGTCCGGCTGAATAGGAGGTTGACGTACGACGGCCGGTGGTCCCTGTGGCACTGGATCCCGGTTGATAACGTACTGATACGTGCGAGGTACGTACCAGTCCATGTACCGAGAAGTAGTATCCAACGGCGGCCAAGCTAATATCCTACCCTCCATTGTAATCGAGTTGCAAGCCAGGTCTGTCCACTCCTCGCCTGGAGAATCGTACCGTACCTCGTATGACTGACCTCCAATCGGACCATGTAGTCATGGCTCTCTAGACTGAATGTAGAAATGTGGTATGGTCTTTCTGAAGCCGAACGGCCGTAGGACGCGATCCGGCAAATACGGCACAATAGTCTCCATAAACTGTATACATCCGTAATACAGTGTACGCGGAATGCGTCTATGCCCGTGCAGACCGTAAGGCATTCAGTCAATCTGATACAATTATATTTACGTAATAAATACAAAATGCATCAACGAAACAGATAAATCCAGCAATTAAAATACATACCAGATCGGCATGCATATCATCGACCATCCTTCGGACCGATATCAAGTCTGAAATGCCCTTGCGTGGTTTCCATTTCAGGAAACGTGGCTGCATCCCCCTACAAGTCGAATTAATAGGTGCTCGCAAAGGGCGAAAGTACTCATAAATCCAGCACTATAAATAAACGAGATTAAATTAAAAATATAATAAATTATATTATATTATATTATATTATATTAGTACCTAAATTATACTAACTAATACTACACATTATTAACATAATATATTAAAATATATTATATTAGACACTAATAAGTTATAATATATTAAATTAAAAATATATTACAATAGAATACCTGAAGCAGTAACGTGCATCCATGTAATCCCTTCACATGGGCCCTAATAGCCAAGCCCAACTGTCTGAAAGTGAGCCAACACAGCTGCACCCCAAGCATACTCGCCGACGTGCTCTAGGTCGCAGGAGTATCTCATCCACGTTGGCTTGAACTTGTCTATACTCCGGTCGGGGAACAAAGTCATACCGAATAGAAACATAAAAACCCTACGACCTTCTGCCGACAAGACCGTAACCAATTGTACACACGCTAAACAAAGTCCGACCATTTTATTCCACTATTGTCGAGCATGGTATGCGAGTCGACTAGATTCAAATCAAGAACCTCTGCAAGCAACATCTCACACATAGGTCTCTCCTCGTCAAAATCACCGTAAACTAATAGACCGTTGACACACAACCCCAAGATGAATGCAACATCATTCAGGGTGATCGTCATCTCACCCCAAGGCATGTGGAAATTGTTCGTCTCCGCCTGCCACCTCTCTACAAATACATGCATGAGTCCCTTGTCCACATTATTAATGTAGAAGTGCTCGAGTGAGTCCAGGCCAGATGTCTCCAATGGCTCTAACTCATCATGCCCGTAAGGAGCCATTTGATCCTTCAGATTAACCTTTTTAAACGCCCTTAGCGCCTGAATCCTAGACTCACATCGTCCGACAGTGCGCTCCTGTAGAATATCTTATTTAATTAGAAAATGTATGTTAATAATACATATATATATATATATATATATATATATATATATATATATATATATATATATATATATATATATATATATATATATATATATATATATATAT